TCACGAGACTTCAGTGGTGCAAGTAATTAGCTTCACATGCAATCCAAACTAATTGCTAATTTCCCATATCCCACTCCTGGCACCAGGTTGGTGGTAAGAGTCAGGCAGCAGGGACAGAATCTCGAAAAGACTCTGCTTGCTGAATCCACCTGGAAGTAAAACACATTCACAAGTCAGTCATGACTACACATCCAGAACGCCTTGCTTGCTTTGGGAGTGATTGCGTTATGAGAGGGTGAAGTATATCTAAATGAAAATATTGTCAAATTTAGCAAAACACTCTTAACATTAAAACATCTCAAGCATTAGATGGAAAATAAATGATCGCAGTTTTCTTTTTGCACTGTTAAGAAACTATGTTTTACTTGGTATGAAGGTCCTTCATCCATAGATACCCGAAGACAAACTCATTTCTTTTTTCAAAGATAATCCACGTTGACCCATATATCTCCATATTATTAGTGCTTATCTATTCTAATCTTTCTTATTAATCTTTCCCTATTAATAAAGTCCACAGACACAGCAAAGGCTAGCTCATGTGCACCACGTGACGTTTTGTGACTTTTTTGGGGGTTATTATTCTGTTTAATCTGGATGACTGCCCAGGTTCTGCTTTTGCCTACAAGGACAAGCTAAGGCTTATTGTGGTGGTGCAGCCTGCAGCTGTTCTGCAGAAAGAAAAGAGCGTTTAATATCTCAAGCTGTCGAGAGCACTTCAAATTAGAAAGGCCATCACCTGCTTCCTAAGTGCTAGCAGCACACCCTGTTTAATTGCAGAGGGAGAAGAATGTGACACTTTGATTGCTTTTCAAAACAAATTTTAAAGAGCGCTGTGTGCTCTTGTTTCGTACAGCCTGAGCAAAACATTTGCACAGGAGTCCTGACCCTAAAAGTAATGACTGCAGCCAGAGACAGAATTTTCACCTGTCAAGGTATGCATTTGAAGGTGCTCATTATTGTTAATATTAGGGTCTCATCCTTTAATCCAGTTGTGGAATTTGGGGAAATCTAGAATTAGGAAACCAATAATCCCATGATTGTGCAGTGGTGGGATCCATGGCAGATTTTCAAAGATGCAGACTCCTATGCAAAATGAACGGATTAAAGAGAAAAATGACAGATTTAATATGATTGTATCAGCAACTCTGCCACAGTCCATGAAAACGTTCTCAAATACCATAACAAAATGTTAAATATCAACTATTTGGTGCAGGATTATAGACGAGTACCTGGCTGTTGTAAAACTATAAATGGATCAGACTGCTGTGCCTTCGTGTTTCCACGAAAATCCATCTTTTTACATCTGGTTTGGTTTCTGCTATAGCGTTATTTCCTATGAGGATTCCAACAGCAGAAATGCAAGTGAAGGAAGCCAACCTTATACAGTATAAAGGAGAGCCTGTTCACATATAAGGGGGGATAATTACTTTCAAATTCTGCTTGGCAGCTATTTAAGAACCACGTACCATATATTCATAGGGTTGATTTCCTTGAATAACAATAGCCAAACTAACCCCATACTTTTAAACTTACAAAGAAGTTACTGTACTACACTTCAGACCCTCAGTTCCCATTCCCATTCCTGACAGCATAAAAGCTAATGTTCCCTGGTGGTGTTGACTGCACAATTACAGACCTTCGAAACCTCCAACTTCCAAATGCATACTGCGCAATACATCTAAGAAGTATTTCAAAGTCTCAGCAAGCTAGACACAATACTGCACAAGTTTATGGCCTCACTCTAAATAAAGAACTTAAATGGCACTTTGGTGTACTTCACTGAAGATGCAATGTGAAACAGGCAAAAAATGAAAAGATACACAAGGCCGCAATCTAGCAGTTGTACTCTTTTCTCCCCTGTTTTCTAACTGAACCACAGAATTGTGCTGGTCAGAATTGTGCAGAATAGTGAAAACTATGCATCTGAATGAAACAGTAATTATATCCATTTTGATTCCCCAAATGTGTCCTCTGCATAAAATAATTTCAATATACAATAAGCAGCCCTTTACAACAAAGCCATCTCCTTGCTGAAGCTCATATGGGTCAGGAACTACCAAGTAGTGTTTCTGAGGCTGGCAGCCATGGACTGTTCACTTAACAGCAGGGTGAGCTTCTTCCTTCTGTATTCTACTAAAAACCAAGTGAGCACGTCCGCTGTTTGGAACTTTTTTTCATAGTCTTCTGAACGTCTAAAACAATTCTTGCTATCAAATAATTCAGATGATTAATACAAAATCTTTAAGGTCTTCTTACACTTCTTACATAAGAAAACATTTCAGCTCAAGTACGTGTTGGAATATACAATCTACCCCCCAAAAGAGGACTGCTCTGAATTGGGATAGGACAGGATAAAATTAATCTGTGTCAGAATGGAGTTCCTGACTTGCTGTGGAACATATTCCCTTTTAACAAGACCAGAAGCAAAACCCCACTTTCAGCTCGGTGCTTAAACTATGCAGTATGGTGAGACATCATTCACCTAAGCGACATTGCCTGTTAGCATGAATGCTAATCTCTCAGGTCTCTAATTCTGTCTTTGTGATAAAGGGTCTATGTTTTGTCAGAGGTTTCAGAGTGAAGGAGGGGCTGTTTGTTTGAGATATATTTTGTTTTAACTGGCCAGTCCCACAATTTCCTCAGTGATCTACGTGGATTAATCACATACGAAGGGATTTTCTAGAGAGTAGTGAGAAAAACAGACAAAAACACTAATTTATTTTGCAATGGAGCACAAATCATGCTTATGGAGAATTGAGAGACTGAAAGACTTTTGTTATGAGATCAGTGGATTGCAGGCTATCCTTTCCTAGCTCCCCATTAACCCCACCCCCAGTAAATTTCAGTGGGACATATGGAGGTATGTATGTATGGAATAGTATTTTACACACCAACTGCCTTTTGCTTTTTATCGTCCTCCACTAACATCTGTTTATGCAGTTGTGTCAGGGGCGCCGGGTAGGTACATTAGAAGAGGTCAAAGATTGCTATATAGGCAGCAGTGAAGCAGTCAAAGGCTCTAGAGCAGGGGTGTCACGCTCATTTGCAATGGCATGGTTGATTTGATTTTACTTTAAGCAATGCATACATATCACAACTTAGATTCATTCATTTCCCAAGCGCCATATCCATTAAAGGGTCATGGGAGAGCTGGAGCTTATCCCTGCAAGCAAAAGGCACAAGGCAGGATACACCCTGATCATAGGGGAAACAGATTAGCATTATTTAGATTAGCATTGCTGCTGGGTCCCTGGGTTCTATTCTGGGGTGCTACCTGTGTGGAGTTTATATGTTCTCCCTGGATTTCTTCCCACAGTCCAAAGACATACTGGTAGATTAATGGGCTTCTGGGACAAATGGCCCTGGTGTGCATGTGTCTGTGTTTTTGTCTGTGTGTGCCCTGCGATGGACTGGCGTCCTCTCCAGGGTGTATCCTGCCCTGCCGCTGTTGCTTCCCAGCATAGGCTCTGGCTTCTGCTCGACTATGTATCGGATAAAGTTAAAAAATAGATGTACGAATGTATGAACAAAAAATTATAATATTAGATATGAGCTCAGCCTGGTTTTTAGGTTCTAATACTATATCTTTAATCAGACACATTCACTGAATAGGCCTTGTATACAATAGTTTCATATATAAATTTACAAGCCTTTGGAAATAAGAGACAGTAACAGAAAGCATTACAATTCATTAATTCAAGTATTTCAAGGGCAGGTCAAAGGTGCTCCGGCCATCTCTCATTATTATAGTTAAGCTGTTCAAAGCAAGCCTTGTTAGACCTTGTTCTTCAGAATGAGACAGCACTGCCTAACTGTCACGCACCGACAGTCCAGGCCACAATAGATTTTGACTTACAACTGTTTTATTTTACTAACCATTTCAAAATGGCCTTTTTTGCCAATTCATTTACCAAGGATTGTTGCACACTGCACTAACCCACAGGACGTCCTGCCAACCATGTTTCTAATATCAAAACACACACTTATTATAGCAATTCTGTGGAGCTCCTTACAAAAGTAGTGTAGAGCAGGATCTTTGTCATCAAATGGGATTTTAAGCAGATTTTCAACACAGCAGCAGATCTCCAAGTGACCCAAACAGTGAACTGCAGTTTACTGTGAATTAGAACATTTTACACTAACAGTTCACACGAGATGTGGACCACAGATATGTAAATCTATCTAAATTAAGGAAGATTTTATAACTGTTGTTATCATCTGTTACATCAAGGTTTGCAGAAGTGCAATGGGATTTATGCTGTTCACAGTCTGGAAGAATCTCAGTTAGGGCTGAATGCATAACATGTTATGTATTATGTTTATGAATTTTCACTTTAATCAGCAGTTTAGTAGCTTGCTCATATTTGTTTTGTTCTTCCTAGTTTGTGATGGTAATCACCCTGCTTCTGCTTTCACAAAAATACGTCTTGGGAGATTCTCTGCTGCTATAGTTTTTAAAGGTACAGTGTTGCTCTAAACTCCACAAAAGCACAGGCACACAATACGACATGCCTGCATTTTTCTTTCTTCATTCTGCAGTGGGTGTGCCAATGTTTGTGTACCACTAACTGAAACATGACAAGCCTGAACTTGCATCTAAGTATCTGTCCCTAACAGTTTGTATTGACCAGGCGATACAAAGACTGTCTTTTGGTAAAGAAAAGGGAAACTCATGTTGCCTTCTCTGGAAAATTCCTGCTTGCCTGTCTCATTGTGCTTTCGTTAACAAATCCTCATCTGGCTCTAATTTGATTAGAAAACAACTGCTTCTTTTAATTTCCATTACTGAGTCATGTGGGCATAGTCCTGTATCTGTTCTGAGTGAAGTAGGTTCCTCTGGTTGCAGGGGAAGAAGAGATTCCAAACAGCACAGCCCTTTCCAGCGTGGGTCAGCCCCTCCCATCCAGCCCGCCCACCCTTCTCACCAAGGCACTCACTCCTCCTGTTTCCTCCACTCCCTCCAAAAAATGACCCTGATTTTTTTTTTGCAACACTTCCTTTTTTTCCCCCCATCCCATTCCCCTTGTTCCCTGCTCAAATAGAAGAGTTAGGGGCTGGGCTTGGAGTTTCTTCAAAGTTTTATAAGACATCTGCAGCTGCCAGGATTTGTGCAGAGCTCTTCAGGCTCACAGAAAGAGAGGCAAGCCAGCGCCGGTATGCAGAAAACACAAAAGGGTCCCATCCCTTGTTGGTGAGGTTCTTTATTTTCCATTCTCTTGGAGTAACGTGCTCTGTAGGACCCTACAGAAGTTTTCCGTTTTTAAAGCAAGAAAACTCAACTGAGCTACATCTTCCAGACCTTTTGCACAAACAAAAAGCAACTGGGATAAATAAGAGGGAAGAAATCAGGTTTCGACTGTACTTCATTGTCAAAGAGGATTGTTGTTTACTTTTAGGATTCTGGAGGGTTTTCATTCTGTGGAAGCAGGGATTTCAGCAGCTGGGGCACTGAGCCATTCCTCCTTCTCTATCTCACTCTCCTCTGCTCACACTCTGGAATCTGACGTCTTAGGAGGCCCGTCTGCTTCAGTGTCCTGCCCTGTGTGAAAGACTGCAGAGGTGGAGATTAATGAGCGATTCCTTCCTAAAGTGTCTTGAGGGGACCTGAAGATTGAATGCTTTATCTGCAAAGGAGGTGGAGGCAGGTCATTCAGTTGTTCTGTTTCAACTCAGAAAACACTGGGAGTTGGTACCTGAGGCTCCTGTCAGGTTCCTTGTGATCTCTTAAAGAATGCACTGCAGTCACTTTATTTAAGTACTTTTTTTAAGCTTTCTCTTCTTTCACAGTGACAACTTAAGCCAAGCAGTTCCAAGTTTTGAAAGTGATCCTCTTGCAGTGGAGATGGTAAATGCACAGGATTTCCTGGACATCAACTGTGAACAATTTGCTATTAATTTTTAGAAACATAGAGATTTCTTGCTGTCCCCTTTCCATGAGCCCGATTGCTCTCTAGTCTACAGAACAAAAACTCTGAGGATTTCTAAAAAGCTATCTATATCAATTTTGCATAATTCTGAGAGAATATCAATTTTTTAAGCTGCACACGTGTTTAAACTTGCCATCACTGCACTCTGTCTCTGAAGTTTCTGCCCGGAAATCTGTTCAGGGAAGCAGATTGACACTGAAAGACAATTGCATGTGGCCAAGTCTTTCCTAGATTTCAAGTCAATCAGTAGCTGAGCAGCCCAATCTGCGGACTTTAAACATCACTTAACTGCATCAAGTGAAGTGTGTCATCTGGACTGAAGATGGAGGGGAGGATTATCATCTTTTCTTGTGCTCTGCTTGGCCTGTGTTATCTCATGGTGTGGTGCAGCACCACTGATTTGCAGTCTGTTACCTTGGACCACGATGCCACCGAGCTCCAGACAGGCAGCCTGCGAGACAGGAGGGCCGTCTCCAAGAGGAAGCAGGACCAGGGGGACGAGCCGGAAGGCAGGGTCTTAACGGAGAGCCCTGGCGTAGATCCAGTGCCGAAGAAAAAGGCAGAGAAGGCCAAGGCAAAAACCAAGAAGTCTGCTGAGGAAGTACTCGCAGGTAAGGGGAAGCAACAAGCCAGCATGTCCCTAGGAATGAGAGGTCAGGAACCCCAAGCTTGGAAACCCACTCTCCTGCAGGGTTTAAATACACATGGAAATGATCTGTGAGTGGCAGTGACACACACAGTCAAGACCTGGTATTCAGGTTGACTTATACTGTAAAATAATATAGTTAGCATAGTTAAGACATTGTCACAACCCAGGACCACAAGGTATTGTTGCTCTCCAGAGCGAGGCCTACAGACCCTAATCACTCACTCAATTCTGCCTTTTAAGAAATAGGAGGTTTCCAGATCTTCAAAGCTTACATTTGACCAAGCACACAATTTATCAATTGTACAAAGCATTCATTTTATAAAATTAAGTGTTTCCTTTGAAATAACTACACCTGTGTTTGTGGTCCGGCCAGGTGTTTGGAAAGCTTATCTTTGTAAAGTGACACCTTTTGACAAATTAGGCATTTAATTTGACCACATGAAGTGGTCTTAGTCATAAATTAACAAAAAGTAAAGAACACTGCTGCTCTTCAATACTTCCATTCCTCACTTGTTTTTTCTAATTCCATTTACGCTAAACATGAATTAAATTAGATGCTGTGTTGTTAATCCTCAGATGTCCAAATCCTTGTTCATTTTAAAGGTGGAAGTGAATCAGGTTGAACCATAGGAAACACAAGCTTAGTCACAAGTAGGAGAAGCTATGTACATGTACAATACAAAGCTACATGTGTGCAGAACTACTAAGTGACGTGATAATTCCAGTTCTAAATTACTATATTATTGCTGTAGTCAGTATCTAAATTACTATATTATTGCTGTATAACATTCACTAAATGCTTGATTTCATAAACACAGTGTGGAATTTGTATTTCCAATTTACCTTCTGTGTTGCTGAGCATAGCTTAGAATATAGCCTAACTGTGACAATGAGAGGGATCAAAGTTCTGCCTCACAGGCAGTATCACTCTCCCTGACAGCTGCTGAAAAGGCAGTCAAGCAGTAATCTTTCCCTTCAGGCTAACATGCAACTTCAGTCACGCTTCTGGGTCAGAAATTTCATATGCAACTTGAAGTGGGATGGAAAACCACAAAGCAAAAGCAATGCAAACGACTACAGCAAACCATATTTCATCAATATTTTCTGTTATTGATGTTGGCGTTGAGAGCTCTGTGAAATTGCCCTCTTGCAGACAGCACAAACGATGAAACCCACCTCATTCGTTAGTGCTACGTTTGTGCCGTTGAAAGTAACTTCCCAGCTGCTTCCCAGTTTCCCAGAACATGTAACTTCCCAGTGCACGCGTTTGCTTGTAGCAGCTCGATACATGTTCGACCTGTAGGAGTTAAGCACGAATAGGTTCTAAAATTTCTCCTGTAAGAAAATTACACGTTGTGGAACGCATGAATAACATTAAGATAATATTGACGGATAGATGCGAGTGTGCATTTTTCAGATAACGATTCAGATCGCCTCTAAATGCCCTGCAGTATTTCTAAGTGAACGACGTTTACAGAGCTAAAATACATCCAAAATATGTATCTGACACTTTTATTAGCAGACCATTCTTGAAATTAAAGGTACGATTAATTGGTTAGCACTGTAATGCGACTATAACAATTCAGTGTAAAGTCTTGTGGGAAGTCACGAATTTCCAAATTAGGTGTCTTTTTGCATCGAAAATAGAATACTAATTTCGTGGGTTTCATACAAATTTATAAGTATCATGAAGGATCAAACAAGATCTTCAGAACTTAATATTTTAATACCTTCGCAGTTTTTATTCTCATGGCGCCTCACTCGATATTAGCCTTGGGGCGATGCATTTACTCCAACCTCTGAAACCCATATATGCCTGCACGTTCTTCTGGTACTGTATGTTATGCTCAAGTCCGCTGAATATTTAAAGGCAAGGTTAAAGCTCCGTGAAGTTGCCTCCCCTACAGACAGCACAAACAATGAAACCCACCTCATTCGTTAGTGCTACGTTTGTGCCGTTGAAAGCAGCGTTTGTGCTGCTTTCGTTTTCGAGATACAGCGCCTGGGTTTTTCGGGGGTCGTGACGTCACTCAGCTCCCTACAATGTTGTAGGGAAACCATAGCGGTCTCATTCGTTAGTGCAGCGTCTGCTGCTTTCGTTCCCGAGGTATAGCGCCTTGCTTTTCCGGTGATCATGTGACCATGCACGGCGACTTTGACCACCAGTGAACCCGTCTGCCGAGTTCAAGCGCTCTGTTACAGTTTAACTCGTACCCTTAACATTGCAAAGATCAATATCCACAAACATATGAGCCTACTTAAATGTGAATAATACTAAGACATGACGCACGCCATCAAGTTAACTATCTTTGACATAAACCTGTGGTTGTAATGTATGTTAAATCACCGTAATTGTAAGATCTATGTTTTTTTTTCTAAGCCACATTTTCCTTTTCTTTCCCTACCGTGACACGCTGTTGCCAAACGCGTAACTGTAATATACCATCGCGACAAGACCTCTGCAGCATGTCATGATAGGGACCCCTAAGGCATGTATATGGGGCAGTATATATCGCGACTGGCGCCTTGCTTCCATGCCACCCTGGCACCGCTGTCGCAACAAAAGTCTCATATCAGGACATGATAAACCCGGATAGGACGTGTCGCAATATATGGCCTCCATGTCGTGACATGGGGGCGGGGCATTTTGGTCGGGGTATTTCATATCGCGATATATGGGCTTCATGTCGCGACATGGGGGCGGGGCATTTTGGTCGGGGTATTTCATATCGCGATATACGGGCTTCATGTCGCGACATGGAGGCGGGGCATTTTGGTCGGGGTATTTCATATCGTGATATAGGGGCTTCATGTCCGACATGGGGGCGGGGCATTTTGTCGGAATATTTCATATCGCGATATACGGGCTTCATGTCGTGACATTGGCGCAGGAGCGTCTGTCATATCGCTATAGGTGGAATCCGTGTCGCGACATGGGGGCGTTTTGTCGGGGTATGTCATATGGCGATATATGGACAGTGATGAGCAAGTCGCAATGGGTATCGCGATGCGATCATGATGCGCGCACTCCTATCGTGACTTGCTGTCGGAGTCGTGAACGCGCTTTGGATGCCATGACATTCTTTGTCTGTTATTCAGTTTTGACCTCAGTGCGACTTCTCTTAGATTGATTAGTAATGGGAAACCAATGGATGTGTTACTGTATATCCAGCGTGCTCGTACAGCACACATGTTAACCGCCGCCACAGTATTTGGACCAAACTGTGTTCTCGGAACGTGCGCTGTGGCGCTTTACCCAATCAGAGTGTCGACTCTCACTCCTCACCCAATTGCGACCCGACCTGTTCGGGGGTTTAGCCAATCACGGCTCTGGGATCTGTTCAAGCGAGCAGCGCCAGGTGGATCGGCTTGTTTACTGTCAATGAGAATCTATTTTTAAAATGCTTTACTTATTTGCAAAATTATTGCATCGGGTTGTTTTTGTATTGATTCACAATGATCCCGTACTCTTCGAAATAGATACAGTTTTTATTTGCAATATAACTGTCTCCGCTGCTTTCTGTAATTAATACATGGCAATTGAACAATTTAATCGTATATTTAAGGTAGGGGAAAAACCTTCTGCTTTGTACTTCAAAAATGAATAGAAATGCAAAGTGTATGATCATTTAACTATTATGATCGTGCTTTCCATTTTGTTTTTTATTCTTAAAATATATCGATCTGGAAACTAAAAATGTTAATATGGGCTCTCGTGTTGTACCAGCGGTAATTTGGAAACTGGCGCTTCTTCACCAATGAAAGGAGTACAAAAGCAATACATTTTCTAGAACATGGTTGAAAATTAAGAGAAAACACCTAACCCAATGAAGTAACAGTAACTCCTCCCTAAATGTAAGATTGTTTATTCGTGTAAAGGCTGCAAAGTCTGGTGTCAACTGATCAAAAGTCACAACTGAAAGATATGGTGGTCGTGACTTTGCTGTTTTGTACGTCACAGAGTGACACGCTATTTGGAAATATATTGATACATCCAGCCCACCCGAACTGACAGACTCGGAAAACAAATTGCCCCCATTGTTTTCATCACAATCAGGAGTTCAAGTACCGAGTTTGTTGGTACTTGTAAACAGCCTTGTAGATAGTCAAGTGATTACCCGAAAAAAAAAACAAGGCGCTATATCTCGGAAACGAAAGCAGCACAAACGCTGCTTACAGCGACACAAACCGACACAAACCTAGCACTAACGAATGAGACCGGTTTGGTTTTCCTACGACATTGTCACGACTATAAATGACAAAAAGCCTGAAACCAAAATTCAGACACTTTGTAAGAGAAGATAAATAACTCTTTTCTCTCTGCTGCAGAGTCAGTTCAGTGTATTAGCAGTTAAGTTGTGATACATTGCTTTTTTTGGCTCAAGTGGAAAAACAGCATGTCCTTACACATAGGAAGGGCTGAGTATGGTGGGATTTCAGTTACTTTGCGGTCATGTCTGAAACCTAATAATCAAGAATAATCATTAGCAAGCAAATGAATATTTCTCTTGGACAGAAAAAAATATGGAATATCTTGTACAATCTGGAAATCTGGAATATTCAACATATTCAGTTCTGTTATGCATTACTTAAAAGACAATTTACAGTACTATATAATGACTGTAGTATTTCCCTTGTAATACTAAAGTGATTGGATTTGAAATGTTATACCTGTATATTCCAAAGAATATCTATAGTCATGCACCCTTTGATCTGAACTGGCAATCATAAATCTTTTCATATTTTCACTTTAAATAAAGGCTTATTTAAGAATGTAATACTGCAAATTGGAACCAAAATAAAAAGAACACTTCAATTCAACATTTTTTCTGTCTTAAGTGCTGTTTTGAGAGTGGGAAGTCAAAATACACAATTACAGTATTAAAAGTATTACGTTCTTTTTATCTATGCGGTATTTGAAAATGGATGTTTTCAAATTACAAAAAGAGCACCCCAGGAACAGTTTCAGGACACTTTGCTAAGTATTAATTAAATATACATTAACCAAAGGCTAGATAAGCTATTTGGCATCAATTCCAGACATCATTTCCTATAAAAGTATTTCTAAAGATAACTTGAAACAGGATTTCCATGAAAGCTAAATAATGATGATAGACCTTTTATGGCTCAGGCACTGCAGTAAATGTATCAGCTTTTTACCCAAAAGAAATATTTTCCATTCCATTAATATAAATAGAGGGTTTTGGTGGGGGAAAACGTTACTACACCACAGTTTCTTTGTAAACCAAAAGCATTCATTATTCTTATTTTGGGAAAAGGAAATAATCTGCATAGCGAAATAGGCTGAGATGGACAGAATTTACAAACCAACAGACTTTCAGATTTTTTTTATCTGTGGTCCTGGGCCAGAAAAAGTGTCCTGGTTAACTGAATGAAAATTGTTCTTATTTTCAGTATGATTTCCATTATTTTATGAAAGATAGTGCGTTCTTAGAAACGTCCTTCAGTCTTCCCTATTGCTCTATTTTTCTAACCTTCCTAGCAAATTTCGGAGCTTTTGCAAAGACATGCCAAAGATGCTTGCCAGCAAAGATAGGAACAGCATGCAGCCTTTTAGCTCACTGGTAAAGCATAACATTGTGCTACAAACAAACAGCATTTCAGCTGGAAAGGACTCAGAAGCCCATGATGACCCGTCATTTTCATCTTTCTGACAATGTTACATTTCAGAGTAAGATAAGATCACTTTATTGGCCATATACAGTTTCTTGTATTAGGAATTTGTCTTTTCACATACCCCAGCTTGCTCTCCATGAAACACACAGACAGGGAGAGAAGCTTGGGGTCAGAGTGCAGGGTCAGCCATTTATATGGCACCCCTGGAGCACTTGGGGTTAAGGGCCTTTCTCAGGGGTAGGATTCCTCTGCCAGCCATGGGATACAAGCCGGCAACCTGCCAGCCACAGGCACAGATCCATAGCCACAGAGCCACTGTCCCCATAACATTAAAGACTGACTAGTAAAAAAACAGAAAAAATCATTTTGTTGGGCAACACACTAGAAGAACTTTAGAATTTTATGTTAATTACAATTAATGTAATAATTTTGGAATTCAGAGGATTGTGTACTATTTTGATTACCATAAAAATATATGACTGCTCTGGCATCAGTCTAGGGAAGAGTGACCATACACATGCCTGGTCTACTTTGACAGGTGAAAAGAATTGAATCTTTTTAGGCTTGAAAAGAAATTGTCTGGGAGGTGAAACGATTCATGTGTTCAAAAGTCTCAAAGGAATTGACAGTCTGTGCAGAGACTGTGCACATGTGTTCCTCCAGCAAAGGCTGGTGTGCCCAGGGCGTGTCAAGGTGATGTTAGGTGAAATAACTTGTGTAAACGTCAGAGAAGAATGCTCCCCTTGATCCAGAGTAGGAAAGTAGCTGTCAGGGATTACTTACCCAGGCACAGTCTGAAATGTAATCTGGCTCAATGCCTACTGCTCGACATGCCTTACAGTACAGCAGGACACTTTCACACCTAGACCAGTCACTCCCCTCCTAGACCCCAAGGGCCAAAAAGAGCCAAGGGAAAAAAAACAGGAATGTGTAATGTAGCGAAACAACCTGCGGCAACAAGCTGAAAGACCCACTGAGCCCTGGCAGTGTCTATGGGTTCGGAGGCACTTGCCAACCATTCAAGAAAAAATAAATAAATAAAATGCAACGTCTCTGCATAATGTCTTTGGTCTGTGCACTGATTTATTTGAAGTTTAGAAAGGCATCCCTACATATGTCTGACCCCATGACCAGTAAGTGAGATTAACAGAATATATAACAGATAAAGAAAAAAAGTATTCAGTCATTTGAGAGCTTATTTTTTTTAAGAGTGTTTGTCTGACTTCACAAGAACCATGACATTGTCGAAGAAAGGTCCCAGAATGATATCATGCAATAATTTCCAAACTGCGTATGGGGTTTCCGGAGGGAAGAATAGGCATGTGCTTTCTGCCTGTGCCGAGCACGTATAATGGAAAATTGTGTCTGGTACTATGAGTCACTCTCATCTTCATCAAAATCAACGAGCTTTGCTGGCATAGACATCATCCCCATTTTAAACAGGCTACAGTAGCTCTTCACTGTGCTGAAGTGAGTCCAACACAAAGAACTGCGTTCTTACCCTTGGTTGCATTTGTTTTAGAAGGTAAACTACCCCCTAGTGGAATATCTTATACATGCCATTATGGTATATGTTAAAGTTAATATTCCATTTTTACTTTTTCCCCCCAGTACAAAATAATTATATTATGCTTAATGCTTTGACACAAGGAGCTACATGAAATAAGCTCACTAGTGTCTTTTCAACTTGTGTGTTTTACACTTCCATGTTTTACACTTTCATGAAACTGTCATGAACTGTGTTTCGTGTATGACTGACAATCAGCAGGGTAATTTCATAAATGGAACCCAGCTCCCCTGCTGAAGGGCCTCTCTTCAGCAGCCTTTGAAGCCTCCAAATCTCCAGCTTCTCAAGAATTGCTTCAACTTAATAAACAAATAATGAGTTCCTTAATAGGTCATTAAGGGCTCAGGTGGGAAGAACATCTTAAATGTTCTGGTCCCCAAAGATGGGAGCTGTGCCCCCCTGCTGTAGCTGACCACGAGAAATCTGATGGCACTGCCGGCCAAACTGTGATTTCATTATTTTACTGCTATGATAAATGTTCCCCTTATCTGCAATAATTTCCAATAAGAGTGTCTATCGCCACAACGCCTTAATCTTTCTCCTGACAATAGTCTGGCAATTTAAACACAAATCAAGGCTGTGTTTCTAGTCAAATAGTCCATCTCATGGCTTCACACTGATGTTGGAAGGACCCCACTTGAAAACCCCAATGGCAAACCCCAAACCCCCAACTCAAGACTCAGGATTATGGCTAGAACCAGTGAAGTTCTCAGCATCTCCAAGGGACTTTACCTTCATGTTCTATGCGTCAGAATTGCTGAATCTGTTTCTCAAGTACACATCTACATTTTGTGCCCTTGCAGTGCAATTTTAGCTATGCCTTTATGGTGTTGCTATCTTGAGCCATGTATTAATACTTTTATTTAATACTTACAGTAGGTTTGTAATAGCTGGGGGTGAGCTCAGTATAAGCCATGACCCAACAGTGTTGCTGTAACCATTTGACAACCTAAATTCAAGTAATAACTAATTCAATCTCAGAATCAGGACTGAAGTATGCTTTTAAAAAAAAGAACCCCTGTATATCACCCGACATCAGCCGTTCAGAGACCATTTCTAGCTGCTTGTCCATAATCCTATTTTAATCAAATAAATAAGGATTCATTATACAGTACGAGTCAAAGCGGCTGTTGTCAGTTGTTCTTCAGCCTGAATTCCTAAACTCTAATTCAAATGTCCTAGTTGTGTCAATGCCACATCTTCTCCTGAATTACTTACAGCTGTGGGCCAACAGCTGGAGCAGGTTAACATTTGTTTTAACTAGAAACACAAATGAGCACTCTGTGTGCCTTGTATGTTAGGCAACACTGGAGCTGGCACTGATATATCCTTACCTGCAGAGTGTACTGTGTAACCTTGCTCTTCCTATGCTTGTGTTTCTTAGTGCTTCTTTATTACAAGAGCAACTACAGCATTACTTTGCAATCAAACTTATTGTTTCTGTGGAAGCCATTGAAAGATATGAACAACAAATGCAATGTCTATCTTAACACTGAGGGACTGAAGTAAGGAGGACTGGAAATTGGAGAAGGTTAAGATGTCTATATCACAAAGCCCTACCCACAAAGTGAAGTAGTCCTGTAACCTCCGCTGACACATTAAAAGGATCATGAAGGACCATGGAAGCAAATACGTTCATGCCAGTTTTTTGGTTTAGTGTAGGAAGGTCTCTAAAACCTAGACATGTGAATTCCCAGTATTCCCAGCCATGGATTGCTATACAAGAGGAATATATTTATCTTGACTATAGACATGTCAGCAGCGACATGTCAGCTCAGCTCACTATGTGCTTAATAGTGTGTATTTCACATCCGGTGTCTGGTGTTCAGCAATTATGAGCAAACTTGCTGTTGTGTCAATGTATCTTTTTAGAGTAGTTGTGATGTCTGTGTTGTGTTTTTGTGATTATGTGCTGTATGTCTATGAGCTGTCCTGGCATCCCTTGAGATGAATAAAATCCTTGTGCTTGAATGCATCCTCCTTCTTTCTTCGATTTCTCCTTTGAACCCTTAGCCAAGGCCAAAAAAGCAGCTGAGAAGGAGGCTAAAGCAAAGAAGCAGAAGGCGCCCAAGCCCACCAAGAAACCCAAACCTCCCAAGCCTACCAAGAAACCCAAGTCCCCAAGGCCTTCCAAGAAACCCAAGGCCCCAAAGCCCTCCAAGAAACCCAAGGTTCCCAAGCCCACCAAGAAGCCCAAAGAGAAACCAGACAAGGGGAAGAAGGTGTTGGAGGTGGAGGAGGAGATAAAAAGGAAGGAGGAGGAAGAGCGAGTGGAGGAGCAGCCGACAAAACACCCTACTCTGGAGGAGGAAGAGGATCGTATCCTCAGAAAGTTAGGCTGGGACAACCGTAAGTACAACTGTAGATTTCCCATACACTGTGCTAGTACAATCCAACACCATGAAACAAACAAATTCCACACGGAACCTCTACAGGGAATATGCGGGAATATTTGCCATCATCATCCTGCAGTTCAGAGGTCTTATTAGTCACAGATCTCAACAGGCACAGCTTGAGAGGTTTTCTGTTACCTAGGAAACATCTCAAGTCACGTACAGCGCTGATGTGTGCTTGTTCACAAGAAAGGGCGAGGGATGACTCAGTAATGTTTTTTTTTTAAATCAAGGATTTTCTGGCTGGTATTTTTTTCCTCTTTTAAAAAAAGGCACAAACACCATGGTTAACGATGGGAGCCACTGCTCGAGCTCTGGGACAGAACAGCATTGTCAGAATGTTGCTCCTTCAGCACGAGACAGCACACACTTTGATGTAGAGGAAGGCTACATGACATAAGGAGGTTACAAAATTGCAAATACTGTGACTGTGCTGTCATTTAAGAATCTAGACACGCAGAGGTTAATTCTGAACTAAAAAAATACCGCTTCTCTTTAGTGACCCCCACAGAACCACCCACCGTGGCTGAGAGAGAGGAAATCCACACAGACCTAGGTAAGAGCTAGCTGTTCTTCTGTTTGGAACACCCCCTTGGCATTAGGGAACAATAAATAAAAAACTCATTAAAGAAAACTCAAATGCCAACCAGCTGTTTCTACATCTCCTAGACAACTACACAATTGGGGAAACTGCACTCCCTGGGACTGTATATTGAATTTAACCACAGGAATTATAAATGGGAGTCGAACTGCCAACAACTAACAGTAAATATAAAATCACACTGATTTATTATTTGCACAAAGCAGTTAACTGTGGCAGAATGTTTGCAGATAGCTAAAGAGATGTTTTGAGATCCTCAAACAGCTTAATTGAGGCCACTCTTCACTTGCACAAAGAGCAAGAGCAAGACCATAAATGAAATATCATACTGTAGTAAAGGACAATCACAAACACTTAGAACACAAGCACACGGTCTGCATATATGAAATCAGCCCCTGTCTGTCAACATCACACATTCTGACAGTATACTACCCTTGCATATTAGGATGGATGTCTAAAGTGTTCTAAAGTGCACAAAATAAAGATGTGTCTATTTGCCATGAGATTGGAATTAAATGTTTGTGTAAGTTTGTAAGGTGGGGTGCTTCTAAAATAATCAGCACAACAAAGCTTTAAACACAAATTCACATCGCTTTGGTGACATCTGAAGGGATGGTGCAACAAAAGACTTATACTGTTGAGCAAGAAAAATGTAATGTTTCTCCTTACAGAAGAGTACTGTGTAGCATATTGGGTCTTTAGACCCCTAACTGACCAGCTGTGGGGTCAAGCTGTGGGGTCAAGTCCTCATTGTGCTGTTGTTACCCTGTATGAAGCACTTCACCCCAGCTATGTGAGTGGGGACCAGCAATGCTTGGGGTAACCCTATGATGCACTTTCCCATCTTTGGGGAGGAGTCAGGTGCTCCCTTTTCTGCTTATCACTACAAAAAACAGTTTTACTACTTAGAAGAGGGAACCTAACAGATCAAGGAATTTTACAGTCAAATCATTTTCCCTTTGGAAAGCAGAAAAGTAAAAAGGGATATCTTGTTACTAATGGTACAAATTCAATATTGATAGTGTCAATTTGAGGCTTCTAACCAAAATACACCCAGGAGGTGTATTTCACAAACTGTTCATGTACCCATTATTAACCATTGCAAACACTGCTGAACTTACTTTTTATTTTGCAGTGGATATTGTTTTGAAACCTGAAGTGCCCTTAACCCCTGATCCAATGAAAGAGACGGAGGAGAAAAAAGATGACTACTGGGATGCAAAGTGTAAGGGAGACTTATTCTGTTTTTATTTACATGCAATCTCATAAAAGAGCGAGATTTAAAAAATAAAAAATAAAATAAAATCATAAAAGAGTGAGATTTATAGGAGCCGTTTGTAAAATAAAATCTAGGAGCTAAGGCTTTGGAAAGTGCTCAGGAGCCTGGCTGTGTGGCGTTGACTGGGATGTATTTCTGTGAAGGCTGCGGTGACTCTTTCAATGTCTCTAAAGGAACATGTTGGAGCACAATATGGCTCACACAGGCACAGCAGCAAAGACACAAGACCACTTCTCTGGTGAAGCATGACCCTTTGGTACTCCAAAACCTTACAGCAGAGGGTTTCCAAGACTCAATCTGCAGGCCAGTGTTTGTACAGCTTTCCAGTCCAGCTGAGCCCTTATCAAATTTTATCAGTTTACTATTAGTATAATAGGACAAAATTACCAACAACTTCAGGCGCCTGCTGGTGAAGATACACCTGCCCTTCAGGACCAGGACTGGGAACCCCTCACTTAAAGGATTCAGAATCACAATGGCATTTATTAATCCTCAAGCCATTGCCTAACATGCTTAGAGCAGGTATCAAGCGAATTGTTTACTCATAGCTGCCCCTGTGAAGCTAGACGCAAACCATCAGGGAGAAATTCTGAGATCCCTGAACCCAGTCTGAACACTGGGAAATGAAAGGAGCCAGTTGAGCAGCAGTTAGAGGTCAGAGAAGTTTGAGGGCTGACTTCTGTCACAAAAGAAAACTCTCGCCCCATTCTGTTCCACCGCCAGTGTCCTTTTTCTCCCTGACAGATGACGTTCCAGAGCCCTTGCCTGAAGAGAAAGAGATCTACCCTGGGCCCTACACTGAAGACTGGAGCCATGCAGTTACAGGTACTCATCACAGGGGAAGGGGAGTTATCACACCACTCTAATCTGAGGTCCGAGGCTCAGTTCTGAGACTGATGGAAGACAAATTCAGATTAGAACCGAGGGACTCAGTGAAAACACAGCCCAATTCAAAGGTTTGCGGTAGTACATTTGAGCTGATCTCTGTGCTAAGACCTTTGAATTGTGCTACTCACCTGTGTTGATGGCAGTAGGAGCGGTAGGTTTTTCATTGGTGTAGATGAAAGTTTTAGGCATTGGTACCGTGTATATAATAGTGTATTAAAATAATCATCCAAGGAATATGACTTAAGGGCAACAATTATTTTTTTCAGAACGGATTTTGATCGTGTTGAGCACCACATTCTTCGTGTATTAAACTGACCTTTAACTCTGCGGTTTCTTGTAATTCCGTACAATTAACGACACAGAGACTGGGGTAAAAAAGTATTCTCCTGGTTAAGAGAAAGAAGAAATTTCCAGCTAGATAAAACCGTGTGAAATCTCAAATGGAGGAAGAGAAAAGCATGAGAGCGAGCTCTCAAACATTATTTTACTGAACACTGTTGTGTTGATTTTCTGCTCTGTTCTGCCTCAGCGGAGCCGACCCCTCCTCCGTTCGAAGACGCGTGGTACGACATGTACGACTACGGAGATCGTAAGTTTCTGACAGTTCAGTCTACACATTGCCAGTAAGAAGCTCAAACAAGCTGTTGTTTGTGTCAGCTAATGTCCACACAAGAGCTTCTTAGTTTTACCCTCCCAAGAGGTTAATACTTGGATGCTCACAAAAATATCAAAGTCCATCTATTATAAAAATTCATGGCAAAATCTTTGCAAGAACGGCAAGTGAAAAGCACTCTTTTTTTTCCATGGAAGGTGCCTCCCCAGTCCGATCTGATTTTTTTTTTCACACATGCTTGAACACCTTCACATTTTCACACAACACTAATTTCTTTATTATTTAAAAAAAAGATTTGGGCACTTAAACATCAGATAAGTCGTGCTTTTGGAAATCATTGTTCAAACCTTTGCCTCACTTCTTGAGCTGCAAGGATGATGGTTGTAATATAGACTAACCGGTTGAGAAAATGACCAACAGCAGTTTTCTGCATTACTCTAACCCTGGGATTCGTATGTCTTTAGCAATCAAGAAGGTAGAGGAGAAAAAAGAAGACTCAAAAAAAGAGAAAGAAGAGAAAAGTGAGTAAATGTATTTATTCAAAGATACAATTTGCTCAATGTAGCCTGGGGCTACATTGTATCCATCTCATTCCTTTGTAATATAAAGCAGTGTCACCTGTTAGCATCTTTCTGCCTACTGTCCAGAGGTACTGTATTCTTACACACCACCTGGGTGTATATAGTACTGTATAATACTCAATGGCTCTGTAACATTGTTCAGTAACATCTCTGATCCCTGATCTCTGAGACTCTTCACACAATGAGTAACGGTAACCACATCAGAGGACACTTATGTACAATCAGTTAGTTCACATGCTGGTCCATGCGTTATTTTGAACTAAGTACAGGAAATATTTCAAATTTTTAAAAAGGCAGTATTTTGGGAAGGAATGTCGTGGGGTTGTGAATTGGAGCGTGCTGCCTTTTTTTCTACTTTATCCAGGCTGTGGAAGAGAGAGGGGAAGACAGGGAGAGAGGGAGAGAAGGGCAAAGGGAGACAGTTAATAAAAACAGCAGCTGCTGCCACATGTTGACTTCTTTGAGGACGGGGGTGAAAGGGAAGGAAGTTTTCGATTTCTCTCGACAGGCAAGGGCGGAAAGAAAGATGTCTAACGGATGACAGTGTAATGGTACAGGGTGATCATAGTTGAGTTTTACCAGATCTCAGGCAGCGGACAGTGCTGGAGGACAATCCTGTGTTAGATCAGTAACATTGAAGGATAGTAAAATGCGTGGGTCAGGCTAAAAACCCTCCCATCTTGCTTAATCTCTGCACATGGCCTGGACAGAAATGAAAGGAGCACAACAATGGCGCTCTGGTATTTTGTGAACGAAATAAAACGTGGCCCCATGTTTCAGAAAACAAGCCGAAGCGAAGCTGTGCTGTTACTTAACATTTCAGGAATGCTCATGCTGTGCGGCATTTTACAAAGTTTGAATTTCTTCTCCTTCCCAGTTCTCATCTTCAGCGTAATTCTGTCCTCAAGAGTACTCATGTGGCTTCTCAGTCTGTGTTACATTTTCTGATTAAATTGCTGCTTATGAGCATCATATTCCTTGGCTCTGAAAGAACAAAACCAAATCAAAGGGATGCTGTTCTGCATTACGCTCACGGTATTACAAAACTGAGCTCTCCAGAAGCTTTTTCCCTTTCCTGAGATTACTTTCAAGGCAGTTGGTTTCAATATTACCCTACATTGTCACATTCCCAACTTGGTATTGGCTTTTCTCCAGTGGGGCAGACAGCTCCGAAGAAAACGGCCTTCGTGCTGAAGGACTTCAACTGTCCATGTTGACAAAATAATGTTCGGATTGTCAGATTTACGCCCTCTCCACTTTTACAGAGTGTATCTATTTATAAACACAAACCTAGTTGCCGAAACCGCTGTTGACTGATGCCTGCTGCAAGGACTTGCCTTGCACATCATTTTTAAACTCCATACATAGTAAGACCAAACTTTTTTTTCACACCAAAACATATTGTACAGTACTTTCTAAGATCTTATCAAATCTGAGCCACTGAAGGATGAGCGCAGGGCTGCAGCCCAAGCCTGTATCAACAAGATCCAATAAACAGTATTATAGGTTTGAACAGGTCAGAGCTGAGGGGGTCAAACTTGAATTTTCACATGCAATACATGCAGGAATATAGTACATACTGTACAGTATGTGCCAGTTTAATGAATACTTCAGAGCTCCTGAGAGCTATGAGACCAGTACAGAATGGGAAATATGCCATACTGCGACAGCTACTGCATTTTATTCTGCTACATTGGCGCTGTCATGGCTTGTTTGGAAAGGAGTCTAATCACAGGCGAGTGACATCCTGTTGTCCTCATCTTCCATTACAGACAAAGAGGAGACAAAGTGGGAGGAAGAGTGGGAGACGAAACCAAAAGAGAGAATCTACACTGAACCAAAGAGTAAGAGCTTTATGACTGTCCCTTTAGCCCTCAGGGCTGATATAAAGACTGTGAAATACAGAGGGAGCTTGTATATCAACCACTGTGTGTCCACTGTTACCTTCTTTACTGCTCTTTGTGCTGAGTTTGTTCTTTTTAGGTGTGAGATACTGTCTGACCTATTCCCAGTCTGCTGTCTGTATGTGTGGATGAGGTGAGGTTTGGAATTGGAAATAATGTTTTATTATCCAAAAAATAGATTACAGATGGACATTCTTGAGTCAGCTTTGTGCAGTGAGTCAGACAGCTGGCTCATGCTGATATTACAATACAGCTGTTTTTCCAGGAAAAGAAAACGCACGACAATCCCTTTGAGGATTCTGCAGATATACAATTTGCAGTATTTGGAGTTCAGATGAAAAACACGGACAAGGTGACCTCAGCACCAGATCAGATAAAATGCGTAATGGTGCACAAATATCAGGATATTCTCGTAGTGATTGTCATATTCTGATCTTGTGGAGGTAAAATTATCACACCTTCAAGAAATGCTATAGGACATATGCTGTGAAAATATTAGATTCCCATAAATTTATTGTTTACGTGCTGTAGGTTCTTGTGCAATTTGCACCGTTGAAGCAAAAGCACAATGTGTCTCTCAATTATTAACTCTGTGTACATTCTCCCTCTATAGATAAATCACCAGGCACCTGGGGTTAACTTACATAAAAGCTTGCAGCTCACAAAACCTGTTCAGTGGGACTTCTGTTTGTACTTCTCCTGTGGCACAGAGCTGTGCCCTCATAAGGAGAGAAGCAACAGGTCTTTTATGCTGGAGGGACACTGGGAATTTGGTGAGGGAGGCTAACTGAAACTAACTAAAAGATGTATTTTTTGGAGTCAGTATTCACAGTTTTGTGAGTGACTTGAAACCAGTTGCGAAGAGTTAAAGACAACAGATGTTACAAGCACAGGCTTGACATTTCCTCTTCAGCCACCTCACATAAGAAACCACTGGACTGCCTGTTGAAAAACAACTGTGCTTTCCAATAACCAACACAGATCACAATTCCTGTTCCTGCAGCCCAGGTCCCAGAAGTCAGATTTTTAGGAAACAAGAGTTTGAATCCGATGGCAAAACAAAAAGAAATGGCGCTGAGAAAATAGCCTTTTGTTGGTTCAGATGGATATCTGTTTCCCACACGTTTACGAACAGGGAAACTGGAAGGGTGCTGGCAATCCCATCATAGCTGCAGGATGTAATGTCAGTCTTCAGCATTCTTCAATTAGCCAGCATCTTAGAGCAAAAACAAAAGCACGATCAATCATTGTAAATTTCAGGATCATGCTCACTTTATGTCCTGTAAAACATGATCTGGGCTGAGCTTCGCTGAATTGAATGGCAGAGAGCTCTAATGTCAACAGTGATTCTGTGCTCTTGGCGTTGACTGTGTTGTTTCTGGCAGTGCCTCCAGCCTGTTCAATGTAACTGTCTGGCACTCATTTCCAAACGGCAAACATGACTTGTTGATTACTAGATCAGAAGAGGAGTGTGGTCTATAAAATCCCAGCATACATCTAACATGTTCTCATAAGCCCTTAGCAATTTCAGAGCTCTCTGGAGATAGACCGCTACAGTACTTTCCAAGGCAGTGCATGATAAATCATGATATCATGAAATCATGATCCCAAACACTAGTGGACTCCAAATCAGTTGTCCATTGGTCCAGGGATATGATGACATTGTTAACCTTTCTAAAAATCTATCACCTTCATTTAATGATCTACTCTTGTGCCTTAAAAAGATTTTTTAAGCTTGAATTAGTTTTCAAAGCACCAAACTTAATTGATGCTGTTTTGTACAATTTTGCTTACTTGCAGTTTTTGTCAAACTGTTTGTTAAAGATCCTGCAGATTATTTTATCCGATTGCTAGATTTATGCACAACACTGCTTCATTTGCAGCGCTGGTGTAATTTTACATTTGCATTTCTGATCAAAACTAAATACTTTATTGTTTGAATATTAAGATACAATAATAATGGATCTAACTCACACACATTGGTGCTCTAACCAAGACATCTCAGTATTGCCCTTTAATAAACTGCTCTTGCTACACTGGAAAACCAGGTATACAGTAATTCATCTACAACATCTGCGGACTGTGCCAACCAAGAGGGAATATCTAGTGTTTCCAGAGAGGAATTACAGGCTCATGTCTGGTCAGGAATTAGGAGTGAGACTTACTTGAACAAGACCACGGTCATGAAAGCAGGCACAAGAGTCATGATTACTGCTAGGGACTGAGTGTCACAGAGGCTGGGGTTACAGGAAGGATTGGGGAGACCTCAGCTTGGTCACCCTGCCGAGTCACTGGGCTCGAGACGCTCCCCTGATCAACAAGCAAAAGAGGAAACCACAGCACCAGAACCTCTGCTGTACTTCTATAGACAGGAAACCGAGAGAGACGGTCCCTAGAGAATATAAAACATAAATCTCTTGCCACTCACCATCCATGGCTTGGCTCTGCTCCCAGTGTTTAAGGAAGGCAACACGTGCTTTGGAACAAAGTAGTATCCAAGTGACCAGACGGAGAGCAGCTAGGAACAGAATTTACGCTTTTCTGAAGAAAACATTCAAAATTGAAAATTTAGGTATTAATATAGAAGTTAGGGGTGTTGCTGTTCAGGAGCTAAATTGCTGGTTTTGCAAATATTATGTTCAAATACTCAAAGAATAAAAGCCAAAAAATGATGAACGATTAAATTATTAAAACGATGACAATATTAAGATATTAGTTGATTCAAAACCCAATATTCTCTTGGTCAATCGCTCTCAGACAATCCTAGTATAAAATAACATACTGTACTAGTGATTTTACATCATAGGAAGGAACATCCTGACCATAGAGTTGTGATTCATGTACAGTAAGTAGCTACAGATATGGCTACACATTGAACAGTTCTGTTTTCTGTGCACTATCTACAACCACCTGGAGATGATGTAACATGGGTCCCAACATGTCTCAACTGCTTTTACTCCTAGAATGCCCCCCACTAGGCATGGAGTCCCACCGCATTGATGACGACCAGCTGCTAGCCTCTTCCAGTTTAGACCACAGCCTGGGCCCCCAGCGAGGACGGCTCAACATGCAGGTATGAAGCAGCACCTAAATCCTGTGGTTTAACACTGGGAGTTCGTAACAATAGACCGAACAGGAGGAGGTCAGTGCAAGCTCGTAGCAATAGACTGAACACAGGGAGCTCAGCACAGGCTCGTAGCAATAGGCTGAATACCGGAAGCTCAGAGCAGGCTTTTAACGAACAGAGGGAGCTCAGCTCAGTCTTGTAGCAATAGGGCAAACACAGGGAACGCAGCAAAGGCTTGTAGAGACAGACTGAACACCAGGGGTTCAGTGCAGGAGCTCAGTGCAGGCTCATAGCGATAAACTGAACGCAGGAGTTCAGTGCAGTCTTGTAGGGATAGACCAAACACTGGGAGTTCAGAGCAGACTTGTATTGATAGCCCACTGGCTGATATGGTACAGATGTTTTAACCAAACAAATACCACAAATCATGAAGATTTAGCATGACGGATACAGTTCAACATAGCTAGTGGTGCATGCAATGATGTTATGTTTGTTGCAGCAAAACTACAGTAATTAAGATGAACAAAATGAATTTCAGTGGAAAGGGAGTTCCAACTCTAAGGCCAACTACTTGTACCATCAATTTACTGGTTTTATGTGAAACTTCCACATCCTTGCAGAAGTGGACATCTGAATTCCTATATGTACACTACCATCCTGTAATGGTTGTTTATAAAAAGAGAACCTTTGTACCAGTCTTACCAGGATGTAGCAGATTAAAGAGACCTATGTCTGCTGAAGCTAAGCTTCCAGACCAGTTAAAATGATAGAATCTGTGTTGCTTTTATTGAATCTGAATCAAGTGTCAAAGAACTATGTTTTAGAAGCCTGTAGCAGAAACCAGAAAATTAGGATTGTGCGGAGAGCGCAGATTATTCACTTATGTTCAGTTCACTGGACAACAAGTATTTATTTTTAAAGACACGTTTCTTAACCAATGGAAATGAGTAAATTTTGTTGGCTTTTTCGGTCCAACTAAAAACAGGAGGGACAAAGTTTAAAATGTAATCAAACGTGAAAAAGTCTTTCCCTTTTGCGGTGGAAGATAATGCTGCTTAGAATGGGCCTCTGTGGTCCAGATGGGGGAAACCATCAATACTCACTGCTCTGTGTCTCTTGGTTTCTTGTCTGACAAATGATTTCATGGCAAATGAAGTCATCCTCACAGGGTGGGGAGGATGAGACCGAAGTGTACGGGGGAGCATGGTGTGCTGAGAGCGAGGAGACACAGCACTGGTTCGAGCTGGATGCCCGCAGGGAGACAGAGTTCACAGGAGTTATCACCCAGGGCAGGGACTCCCAGATACAGTAAGGAACCTCCCATTACATCACACTGGCCAGCTGAAAGCTAGCAGTATTTAGAACAAACCAAACGCAAGCCACAGGACATCACACAAACCAACAGCAGATATCAAAGTCCCAAGTTTATGATGGACAAAACGTTTTCATTTTGCAAAACCTGTTGACTTTAACATTCGATTTATTCCACTCTTAAACTTGGGTTCATAATCTTTTGGCTTTTTAATGCATCAGTCAACTGTAATAAGGGTTGATACTGCAGGTGCATTGATTCTGGCTTCTCAATAGAGAAAAAAGAACTCCCAGTCTCAGCGCATACTGTAACTTGAGTCAGTGCCATTTCCCAAGATGACAGTTCATAGACAAGATTTGTAAATGAATTGCTAGTATTGGATCTCCCCTAGTCCTCTCTTCCTGTTATAAAGCACTGAACATCAAAAGCAGTCACTGTTGTATTAGCTATGGATATTTTACAATTTCATTTTTTTTTGGCCTCTGTGCATCAGCTGTATGTTTTCCATTCATCTCCCACCAGCAACGATTTTGTGACTTCATATTACGTGGCCTTCAGCAATGACAGCCGAGAATGGACAGTTCTCCATGATGGCTACTCCGAGTGGGTGAGTGGAGCCGAACCCCCGCCCCATTGCAGATCAACCACAGGCAGGACCCACACTGAAGAAGCCAGGAGATTTCACTCTCAGATGCATGTTTTGATGCAAAATGCAAGATGCAAGGGAAAACAAAAGAAGGAATGTGCATCCATGACACGCTGAGATAGGAATAATATTCATATGCTGTATAAAGGTGGAGAGCGTCAAGAGACAATAGCTTGTTGTTTCTCTCCCCTTCGTGCCTGAACAGATGTTCTTTGGCAATGTGGACAAAGACACGCCAGTGATGTCGCAGTTTGTCGAGCCAGTGGTCGCACGTTACATCCGGGTTCTGCCCCAGAGCTGGAACGGGAGTCTGTGCATGAGGCTGGAGTTCATGGGCTGCCCTGTGTCCAGTAAGTGACAAAGACACAGCCAAGAGATACGTTTTCTTTTACTATTACTTTTGTTTCTGATTTTGCAAAGGCACCCTCAGAGTTTGTCACTATTCTTTGTGGTAGATAGGATTGGCACCGGAGGCGTCATACAATATCTCAACCACCAGCACGACTTTTCAAGAAAAAGCTAAAACCAAGCACTAAAAAAAACTTTTATTTTTTGTACCTGACACCCAGAGTTATTTTTTCTTTTAATTTTATTGTTATTGGATATGCATAGAAATGTTTTGTTTTACTAAAAGAAAAGCAGGATGATCATAATTTTAGTTTATCAGGTGAGAAAAACTTTCCCCATTATTCTGTTCTTATGTCAAGACATATCATGAGCTATGATTATCTGAACATTCTGTTCTCAGAAAAAAAAAATCTATTAAGTGACTAAAAAAATCAGTCAGTAACATACTTGATAAACTGTATTTTTGTTGGAAGTTAAAAACAGAAGGGGAATAATAAATTCCTTTTCAAAAATGAAAATCTGCAGTAACTTCTTGTCCTCTATCTGTTTTTCTCTAGGCTTTATAGGACAGGAAACAATCCTTGATCTTTAGTCTCGGTTTCAATCATTTCTAAAGATGCTCCTTTAACAAAAGTTCTCTTTCTTTCCTCAGGGCCCAGCATATACAGCCAGAATGAAGTCACATCAACAGATGACCTGGACTTCAGGCATCACAACTACAAGGAGATGAGACAGGTAATTTTCTCATCAACGCTAAAACACCAGCCTAGCATGTTCTGTGCCTCTAGTATATGATGGTGAAGAAATGGCGGAGACTCAGACTGCACAGGACAACCCTTCCTTTACAGCACCATGTTCTGAACACAGTTCCTCCTCCTCTCTTGAAACCCAGATGATGAAAGTGATCAACGAGGAGTGTCCCTCCATTACCAGGATCTACAATATTGGCAAGAGCTCCCAGGGACTGAAGATCTATGCCATGGAGATCTCAGACAACCCTGGGGAACATGAGACAGGTGAGGACATCGTTCAGCTCAAACCACCAGATCTCCCTTCGCTGTCAACCTGTACTGAGAGACAACTGAGTAATTCCAACACCGGCAGCCTATATCCGTACCTCTGGGTCTGGTTAGCAAATTCTCCCTATTCATCCCATTCATATTTGGTGTTCAAAATATTAGCTCTTGAGTTTTTGAGTAGGGCTGGTTTTGACGTGGGATGCGAGGTTTAAGAAATGTATCACAACACTGTATACTTTACAAAACAGTAGTCACTTAAATGAAACACTGACAAAAAGAAAACTTTACCTCCCCTTACTATTAGAAGGGTAGAGGTTATATCTCTTCCTAGCCTTGTGATGAGAAATGCCAGGCGAAGCACAGACTTCAGAGCACTCTGGAGTCCAAATAACCCTGCTGTGGACCTGTTCTGTACTGTATGTACAGAGGAAGGTGCCTTGAGTGGGACCAGCCCTTAGAATCAGGCCATCTTCTACAGTTTTCTTCTCATGATTTGCAATTTCCTTGTCAGGGGAACCGGAATTCCGCTACACTGCCGGTCTCCATGGTAACGAGGCCCTAGGCCGGGAGCTGCTGCTGCTGTTGATGCAGTTCATGTGCAAGGAGTACAACGATGGCAATCCCAGAGTGCGCCGCCTAGTGGAGGGAATCCGCATTCATTTGGTGCCCTCGCTCAACCCAGATGCCTATGAACTCGCCTTTGAGATGGTTTGTGGCCTATCAGTTTGCTCGTACTGTCACTTATTCTGTGTACCTCTCTTTCCGAAATGATCTGTTTTACAATCTGGTTGCGTCTTCAAAAACTAGACATTAGTGCACAAACTCAAAATAGAACACTTCATTCTTTATTTCAACAGAAATACTGCAGTATTGTAACTATTTTGAAAATGTCACAGTGCATAGCAGAAAAGTGTAGTAGCATTGTTGTAACTCATGAAAAAGGGTAATGTGAAGACTCTGACATTAAATTTACAATTTTTCTCACATAATGACAATTTCATTATTTGAAATTTTATTATAATGAAAATCTACAGATGGAGAGGACATTACTTTCCAATTTCTCCTTAGGTATTAAGTTGAGGTAGCACAAGAAGTGAAAGACAAGTGGAACTGAAAATTCAAATGACTCAGAGTTTGAAAAATAATGCCAGACAAAATAAGAGTGGGCAGGCAAATGCAGCGGTTCTCAAAAGTCCAGCCGTCAATACATAAATTGTCTCTTTGTCTCTAAATCATCAGCTGAGTCAATGCTTGATTTTCTTACATCTCCTTCTCCCCAGGGCTCTGAGATGGGCAACTGGGGACTGGGGCACTGGACAGAAGAAGGGTATGACATCTTTCAGAATTTCCCTGACCTCAACAGCGTCTTGTGGGGTGCAGAGGACAGAGGGTGGGTCCCCCGCATAGTGCCAAATCACCATATCCCTATCCCAGAGAACTTCCTATCGGAGAACGCTTCGGTGAGTCTGAGGAACGGTCAAACATGGTCAACGGCCAGTTCAAGCGCCTAAAGGTGACAACTCCTGCAAGATTTCGGTTAAAGTAACAGTTATACAGCTTTCTCAGTGTAAATTTACTTACAACGAAGGTGGTGAACACATACAAATAGGCACTGCATCATTTTCCGCAAAGTGCACCTTCTTTCTTACTTGTAACAGTCAACCATTCCACAGAGTACTGGTAATGGAGAAAAAAGTCTAAAAAAGTCCGAATGTTTTCTCTCTCATGCTCATCCAGTCAGGATTTAATCATTTCTTACGGCTTGCCTTCATGCCTGCAGCTTCAGTATCACATGGGGAGAAGGAGGGTTTGAAGCCCCGCTCCTCCAGATCCAGTCATTACTGGACACGCTGCAAGCTTCATGGGCCATTCCAGGACGGGCAGCACAGATCTAACTGGCATTGCTTCGAGCTTGCAGAAACCACTGCTGGGCTGGGGGCAGAGAACACTGTCCAGCTAATGCCCGTCTTCAACCATCTGTGTGCCACCATTTGGGGAATTGTGATCACTGTTACGCATTGTAACTTCACTTTCCTACATTACTAGAACAGCGAAGGAAAGGAGCAGATACATCCTCTGTGCCTAGATATATGTAATTCTGTGAAACTGAAAGCCTTCTTACTTAACACCAATTGCTGACAAGCTTTTAGAGCTTTAATGCAATTCAGCCAACTCCTAAGCAACAAGCATACCACATACTGGATATAAAAAGTGTACTACTGTATATAATTGAACTACATCATCCACTGGCCTACTGTTCCTTTAGCTTAGAGGGATCCTCTATATTTGTGTGTCAGGTTGCCGTGGAGACGAGAGCCATTATTTCCTGGATGGAGCGGAATCCGTTCGTCTTGGGGGCCAACATCCAGGCAGGGGAGAAGTTTGTGACCTACCCTTTCGACATGCAGCGCCCGGCTGGGAACAACGGGCGCCGGCGGGGGCGCGAGGAAGAGTACGATGAGGAGGCGTGGGCCCAGAGTCAACAGCACTACGACAGCGAGCTCCGCGAGACTCCGGACGACTCCGTGTTCCGCTGGCTAGCCGTCTCCTACGCCTCCACTCATCTCACCATGACTGAGACCTACCGGGGGGGCTGCCACACCGATGATGTCACCGCTGGCTTGGGCATCACCAACCGGGCCAGCTGGAAGCCAGTTGTGGGCAGTGAGTGCACACCGCATGTGACTGGAAAAACACTGCAGTGAGAAAATCCCACACAAATCTGTACACAGACATTCAAGAGGGGTCTGCAGCTGCTCCTGCTGAGGCACAGTTCTTCTGGGGTTATGCTTAGTTTTAAATACTGAGTGAACAGAGGCCTGAAACTTGTCATTTCATACAAAAAAGTAAAGAGCCCAATTTCCATCCCCAGCACAATGAGAACGTAATCCTGAAGTCAGTGCAGTTCTTCCAGACTAAAGATACAGATATGTTTTTGAGATTTTTGTACTTAATTTTTTAAAATGCAAAGTTTTCAGTAGTGTACCCAGAATAACGTTTTTGGGGCTATGTCCGACTCTTTCCAGTTCTAAATCTACACTGTCTCCATGTTCTGAACATGCATTAGGAGGACTAGCTTAGTTTCTGTTAAAATTCTGGTAGATTGCAATATAAGGTAGCCCTCTTGTGGCCTTACGGTATATTGGTTTCTTGCAGAGCCAATCAGCTTGTGCAATGAGGAATCTCAATCTTAATTGAGGCATTACAGTAAAAAAAAGAGGGAGACTAATATCCATTGAAAGCATCAACCTATCACGTAACTCACAATTTTAGTACTTCAGCATTCTGTCTGTTCTTGTTAGTCAGCTGTTAATGCCAGCTTTTCCACTGTCACTTAGGCATGAATGACTTCAGCTACCTGCACACCAACTGCTTTGAGCTCTCCATCTTTGTGGGCTGTGACAAGTTCCCTCATGAGAGCGAGCTTCCACAGGAGTGGGAGAGTAACCGAGAGGCCCTGCTGGTCTTCATGGAGCAGGTAACTGGGGCCACCAAGCCAGATAACTGTGCTGTTACCATCAGAATTCTTAATTTATGATGCCCTTACCAAACCTTGCAGCGATATCATTGTTGCTCAGCTGGATCCGGTAAGGCTGGCTTCTAGTGTTCCTGTTGAAATACAGGTAATTGTACTGAGAGATAATTGTGTCTTCATCCCGCCTGGACAACAGAGCAAGTGAAAGCTCACAGCCAAAGCGATCCTCCAATTATATGGCAATAAACTGGTCTTCCAGCTGCAAAATCTTGCCAATTTAGATGCCAGATTTGAAGGAAAATAAAAATCAAGAAACAAGTTTGCCCACCTTTGTGCACTGATTTTACCTCAAGATGACAGATGGGAAGAAGAGGCTGCCTTCTTATGGTTGTTTCACTGGTGAGCTGCTTGTGCCCAGGGCCATGATACCGAGCTCTACCAATCCGATTCACAGACTTGCCCTAACACAGGCGCGATTCTGATCTATACAGGTGCATCGTGGGATCAAGGGAGTGGTGAAAGATCGTGAAGGCAATCCCATCGCCAATGCTACCGTGTCTGTGGACGGGATCAACCACGACGTTAAGACAGGTGAGGATTTAAGGCTTTCGGGAGGCGGGTATTCTTGACAGTTGTTTGCAATCCTGTGTTGTACAGGAGTCACACGATAAATCCTAATTGGAGTCATAACACATTAGCCTGTGTTCCAGTACATATAATTCCAAAGCAAGTGGCTATTTTAAAGAGCCCTCAGCACAATAAGAGTATAGCGTGACCAGAGTGATGACAGAATAGTGTAATATACAGTATTACAATATTGCAATGGCCAGAAACGTTAGCATGAGGTCATAAGATGCCGAGGGATCTCATCAGTGATTAATCTCACTTGTTTAGCCGCCAACGGGGACTACTGGCGCCTGCTGAACCCCGGAGAGTATCGAGTGACGGTGCGTGCGGAGGGCTACTCCCCAGGATCCAGGTTATGCGTGGTGGGCTATGAGGTCGGGGCGACGCAGTGCAGTTTCACCCTGGTCAAGTCCAACTGGGACCGCATCCGCCAGATCATGGCCCTGAACGGGAACAGGCCCATCAGACTCATCCACAAGAACGGGAGCAGACCCGAGTCTGCGAACGGCAACGGGAAGAGGTACGGAAAGGGGAACAAGAACGGCAGACGGCGCCCGCTTTCTCGCCTATCCCGTCAGCAACTCCTCCGATTGTTGAGGCTCAAGAGGATCCGGGAGCAAAGGCTCAGAGCCAACGCCACGAGCACAGCGCCCCCTACCACTGAAATGCCCCTCACTACCACCCAGCCTCTCCCGAGCTCCACTGAGCCCACCACTCCAGAAGACATCCCCGTGGAGGGCACGCCATATGATTCTTGGTTCATCGTGGAAAGCCCAACCACACCAGCCGGAGCAGGTTCGTGGGACACGCCGGAGCCCACGGAGAACTACGAGTTCGAGTTCAAAATCGACGACGAGTACGAAAGCTAAGCGCCGCCTTTTTTTTCGTGTGCGGGCAACAGCGCAGTGGCGAAAGTCGGGAAATTCTGTAACTTCGTTAAAATCTATCTTATTTCCAGTTTTAAGATCTTCTTAGTTGGAGAAAAGCAACGCTTCACCCTGCCTCCACACACGCATGTGCACTCTTTCACTATGTTAATTACCGGCGCTTGCAGGACCTTTTCCAACTTTTTAGCGTGGCCAGTAGTGACAACTTGGTTTGAACAAATATTAACTGGGTGGGGAAGGCTTTGCGTCTCCGTTATTCGAACGCTGAGGAATGTAAGAAGAGTGGATTCTTAAGGCAGGTAAAGACTTATGTGTGAATGTATGAAATACCAATTGGTTATTTTAATTATCAGTTGGATCTGATTGTGGGAGACCTACTTTATGAGGGCAGGAACGTACAGTATGAGCATTTGAGAAAAATGTTTTGGAAAGCCTGTAAGGCTTCTGCACTCCACAACTGATGCACGCAGAATGGAATTAGCAAAATTTCCCCAAAGTTAAAGTAAATTTTTCTTAATAAAAGCACAAGAGTTAAGGTTGTGTTGGACTGATGAGTTCATTTCATTCTTTTTTGTCATTTTAAAAATGCAAGCACAAATTCTGAAAACGGGGACAAATTTCTTATTAAAAGCATTACTGGTAGGAACATAATAGGTAAGGTTCCCCAATAAATAAATAAATCTTATAAATTAATGCACTGTGTATTTCTGGTTACTTATGAATCACATAAACCAAGCATATATAGTACCAGATAATACACTTTTTTGCTTGATTCATAAGTCTTACCCTAAAACTAGAATCGTGTTCCTCCATTTATTATTTAGAAAGGATCCTTGTTTTCTAGTACCAATGATCCAACCTTTAGTACTTAAAATCAAGGTCAAAGTTTGAAAAAGTACTCTGCAAGTACAATGATCTAAATATTTACTTGAAATGTTTTGCATTTATTTTAATACATCTGAACAATCAATCATCTATCCAAGGCCAACTATCTTGAATGCAGGGTACAATCTGGGAGCAAATGACTCCCCTTCCCCAGGATGCTAATTCTTACTGACTGTTGTACTGTAAGTCTGATCATTTCTTTTTAACTGTATTAGCATGCATGTACACTGAAACACTAACACTCAATGACACTTCCACTTTCAAAGCCCATAACCATACATATGATAATGATCCCAAACATTGTCTATACGTTTATTAAAATAAAGAGTAGATTCATTTGTATCATACATTTAATCTGTTTCTTAGCAAGACCATTATCTTTGGACATTAAAAGGAACATAACTGTATCTGTCCTCATTTAACAAATATGAAATCCTTCTTCAACAAACAACTGACACTGCTATTATGGGGTTTAAACAAAACAATGTACGACAAGGTGTCTTTTAAATGCCACCTGCAAGTGGCACTTCCTCACTTGTGATCTTACATTATTGCAGGTTCGTGTTTTTTTAACCTGAGCAAGTTCTATAATATGCATTATTTCTAATAAGTTCACATCAGAGAAAAAAACACCTGACAATCCAATGCAGCAAATAGGTTGACGGAAACAGACACACTTAACTGAGTTATGGTCTCCAGCTTATTCAATTCCATAGATGTTGGAGGCAGACGCAAACTGTAAAAATAGCTAGTGTCAGATGAATGAATTCTGTGTTAATATCCAATTCAGATAAACCACAGTGAACAAGGGGTTACTTCACAAAGAAACATAGCAGGGATTCTGGTACATCATCTGGCTGTAGAGTTACTTCCACACAGCAGGAGGAATCCAAGGTTTCTGATGTCACGATGGCCTCACTCATTCTGAACACAATCACTAGATACTTGTGAGGAAACAGTCTGTGCTTGTTAGCTTTCTTTTGCCACTCTCAGTGGCTGATGTTCATTTCACTCTCCTCCTCATCCTCGGCTGAGAAAGCCGAGAAGCTGATTGGCTGACACTCCAGATTGCGTAGGTTGACCAGGCAAGCGGTTTGTGTTGTGCTGAATTCTGGGACAGCGACCAGGAGGACTTCTTGACCATCCGCTCCTAGATAAGAAAGGTGAAAAGGCAGTTAGAGTGAACAGTAGCTATTTTAAGAATTGGCATCTGCCTTTGGAATTTAATAATCTGAAAACCACTGTACAGCAGCTTACTCAATTAAGCGTGTCTGGTTCCATCAATAAAATGCACACATAACAGTCCAAAATCCAGGTGGGTACAATCTGTACAATAATAAAGAGATACTGCATAAAACCCCTCAGCCACACACTCCCTCCCTCCAGGGCCACGACTGGGAATCCGGTAGGCAGCAAAAGCTGTCTCAGGTTTTTAATAGCCAAGATATAATGACCACCTGGCAGAAGGTACTCGGAAGACTCTTCTCACCTGTGATGCGTTTCGACTGGAAGGAGGGAGCATTGCCACAGAAGTAGACGTGTGGACATTCCTCCAGAATGAAGGGATCGTTCTGGTAGAAGGGGTAGCAGCCTTTGGAAAAAACAGAACAAGTCAGCAACAGTCAGCTAAAGCCTTTGTCACATTAGAGGACTCGACACGACTTCTAGCCGGAGAGCACGTCAAACTTAACGACCGCAGTTGCTGAATCTCGCTGCCTTTGCTGTCCTAGAGGGCGTCAAATTATCCGACTAGGAATCGCAGGGGGTGACTAATTACACGATTCCCTCACAGCATTTCAGCACAGTTCCAAATCTCGGAAAAGTACCGTGAGGTTGCCTAATTTCGGCAGCCAATCAACGTGGAGCACACTGGAATAGGAGGAGGAGCACCGCATGAAATAAACAAACACTAAACATCAAACAGACGCCTGTGCTGGCTCAAAGTTCAAAGAGCCTCTCCTCCGTTCGCACAGTCCAAAACACTCGCTTTCCTGCTTTCCTTGCAGCTGCATCGTATGCATTGTACTTCCGGCTCAGCTCTCATTGGCTGTTGACTGTCGCAGACACAAGAGCCCACCCCAGAGACTTGCGACTCGCTACGAGAGAATCAAACCTGTTCGATTTTATCCTAGCGAGTCGCAGAGAGTCGTAGGGGCTGTTAAGAGGGCTATGACTGAGTCCCACTGCACATTTGACGGTAACGGGCATGGGCTGCGACTCTTTACAACTCGCTGCGATTTTCTTATGATTATGTAAATGAAGGCTACGGCTGAAAATCCTAGGAAAAGTTGTGTAGTGTGACGCCGGCATAACAGACGAGATTAGCTGACTTTACAAAGTTTAAAGCTTCAAGCAAACGATTCACTTCCGGTCACGGTCGTGGATTGGTATTTACGCTGCAAAATGCCAGAATGTCTCCCTGGAGCTGCTCAACAATTTATCTGTCCCCCTCAGGCAAAAAAAAAAAGCACAAATCTCTCCATGTCTTTCTCTTACAAAAAGTTCCTTTACCACGAGCCTACTCTTGCAACATCCTAACAAAATATCCACCAAAAGTATCTACTTTGGTTCCTACACACATTGTTTCTCAGTTCTCAACCCAAGACATATCTCCCAGCTATGAGGCTACACTGCTGCCCCTTGCACTCAAAAGGACTTCTCTAGTCGACAGACCCCTTACACAAATTTGCCTTTCTACCTGTTCTCACGCTCTCTCTGTACAGAGGCTCCTTTTCACTTTTCTGCTGGAAGCAGAGCAGCGTTCCACCTGCCCAAACCCCTGTGACCAGCTGCTTACCCAGTGTGTCAGGTGCAGTGGGCGCAAGGTGGGAGAGTCTCAGTGTGGTCTCCAGGATGTCCAGGTGTTTGTCCATACTGCTATATTTGAAGATGTCATTTACATTCTGCCCGGAGGTCCCCAAAAATCTACAACACATAATCAGCAACAACACCCATCACCAGTCCAGTTCTCATAATAAAACACAAAAGAAACCCAAGATGGGAAACGTTAATTAGTAGTATTCATGCATTGTATCCCTCACAATAAACCCCCCAATACATCACATTCTTAATAAAGCCAGCGTGGCTTTGAAATATGAGTCAGGGAGGAAGATAAGAACACTCAAATCTACAAGCAGGCCCGGGCCAGAAAAAAGGCCATTTCTTAGACATTTATTTCTTAGCATTTATTATGAAGACGGCTACGCCACAGTGAAGTACACAGGAAAAAAGGAACACAGACACTTTTGTGGCCTTGGAAAGGAGACAAAAATGTCTGTAGCCATCCAACCTCCCCCCCCTGCTCACCGGACCCCGTTGATTTCGGCCTGGAAGGGGTTGCTGACAAGATGCAGGGTAGGGTAGGCCCGGGACAGGGGGAACATGCAGCGGTGCAGAGGCTGCTGGGGTAGAGTGTAGTTGGTTGGGTCGTACTCTCCTGGCATCAGGTCCACAGGCACAGAGGCCTAGGGAAAACAGAAAGGGCAGTCTTCCATTTCAGGAGCAAGCGAAGGAGGAGAATTCAACTTGACAACGTGGAATAAAAGCAAGACTCTCGCGTTTTATCACTGCACACTGCTTCCACCTCAGGTTGTGAATTCCTGCCAGGTCTTGCCGGCAAAAAACACTGCAATATTATGCAGCTTTCCAAAAAGAACAACTAGGTTATTTTTACATATTTACGAGCTCTTCATTTAGCACATCACAGACACAAGCAGTAAAAAACAAAGGCAGAGCAAGAAAGCAAGCAAGCCCTGCTATCGAAGAGGAAAACGCCCATCCGCTGAAGGCATCCTCACTCACCACCAGCTGCACGAGCACTTCATCCAGCATGCGGATCGCCTCCACGCTGCCTGCCTGTGTCTTCTTGGTTAGGTACTTAGCCTGTAGAAAGGGAAGATGGTTCAGCTAGAGCTGAATCAGTCTTGGGTAAGGTAGTGGCTGCTTAAGGTACTCACTGTATCCCTACAAAGAGCAGGGGGGAAATAAAATATACAGTGCAAAAACGGAACTTCTCTATTTTATGACTTGCAAAAGCGATGCACACCATGCACCGGTTCAAATATCCATACTCCTACATCAAGTTTTATTCAACCGTCTCATGCTGACGATTCTCAACTCCATGTCATCACCGGCAGATCTGTGTCCGCGCCATTCTGTGCTTTGTAGCTTTATTAGCTGTGAAACTGTAGTGCAACAGAGCCCTGCGTGAGTGGCCTGTACGCCGCACGTGCACAACCCTTCCCCGACTCTCTTGTGCTCTAACGCCGCACTAGCAGAGCGGCGCTGGGAGCCTCTCTCGCCTTGTTGATGGAGTCCTTGCCCTGGGTGCTCTGGCTCAGCAGGTTGCCAGCGAGCAGGACGCGGGAGATGCGGGCCGCGCCGCTCTGCTCGCCCTCGTCGCCCAGCTGTCCGGTCACCATGTCGATGAGCAGCTGCAGCCCCAGGAGGCTGTCTGCACTGCCGCCCCCCAGCCCCAGCCCGGAGGCCAGAAGAACGTACCTGCAGGAGGAAGAAAAGGAACATGAAGTTACACAAAAACATTGGACATAGAAACCCTGATATATAAAAAGTTGTATATAAAGTAGTTTACATGTGCATTTTAAAGCAGGAGGGGATATTACAATACAGTATTGAATTACTGCACAATAGCCGGCTCAGGATGAAGTCACTTGGTTTACTTGTGTCCCTTTGGAGGATGTGAAAGGCTGATTGATACAGGGCTTTGGATCAATCAGTCAATATCAACATCAATATCAAATTAAAATTTGATATTTTAAGAAATCGTACTTTTAAATACAAATACACAAGAAGAGGTGACAAAATGGATCAAAATCTATTCATTTTACATGAAAAGAATATCACTGCTTTGGTATAACATCAAGGAAGCCATTCTTCCCAGTGCTTTAAAAAACACCAGGAATCACGGATAGATGATAGTCTGAGCTTACTGGTCAGCATCTAAATCTTTCCTGGGGGGTTGGCAAGGGAGGTCAGCCGTGCAGTAGCTTTCCACCGTGAATTTTCCATCGTTCTTCTCTGCACCAAACACAGCAACCACGCTGCCTACAGCACCAGGACAAATCAGAACAGCCAAGAGCCTTTAGAGCATTCTCCATCAACAAACCGAACCATCAATCAGGACAAACTCACTAGAAACCCACTCTCGTTGTGAATAACACTACAGATATTGCCACAGCACATGTATAGTTAAAGACACTAAAAATGCATGCTAAAAAGGGTAATTCAATGACTACCAGAGAACTGGCCAAAATACACTGTGAAGAACAGGGTTACTGGTTTACCCAGTTCATAACTGTATTCAATCCCCAAGCCATGACTATACAATAGAATATGAAATTATTAAGTCTTAATATGAGAATGCTAAGAACCCGAAAAACGAATGTGTTTTTTAATGGACACCATGTAAAATAAATGTATATATATTGTAATGTGAACTGGATGAACTGTTTTTTTTTATAGTGAAAGTGGCTGTACACACATAGACAATACATGAACATGTAGATACTGTTTATGAGACTGAAAGATTTAACATTTTAAACAAGTTACTGAAACATTCCCTCCTGAAGCACCATCCTGTCCAATTGTAGAGTGTACCCAGCAGGACAGAGTGCACACAAAAAGTCCTGCTCACCTGTAACAAGCTTCTGTGTGTCAATGTTGCCTTCCAGTTTTATTCTCTGCAGTTCATCCTCCAGAATGAGCTCATCTGACTGGCATATGTACTTGGCCCGAGGAGGCTGGGGTAGGAGATTGTGCTAAAACAATCACAGACAAAACAATGAAAATTAATGACTGAATCCCTAGTGATGTTGGGATTCCAGGCTTGATGCAATAATGCATAATATAAAAATACATTATATTAGGCCTAAACATTATTTAGAAAAGAGTTACTGTTGTAAAGGGATTCAGAGATTCCAATGCTCTGTATAAGGTTGCTGGTTCACATCCTGTGGCTGGCAGAGGAATCCTACTCCGTTGTGCCCTTGAGCAAGGCCCTTAACCCCAACTGCTCCAGGGGTGCTGTATAAATGGCTGACCCTGCGCTCCGACCCCAGGCTTCTCTCCCTGTCTGTGTGTCTCATGGAGAGCAAGTTGGGGTATGTGAAAAGACAAATTCCTAAAACAAGAAACTGTATATGGCCAATAACATGATCTTATCTCTATCTTATCTTATAGGTGGATCGGAAAAGGACACTTAGTTTGGATTAATGTTTTTTGCTGTTATTCTAATGAGAACCAATTAATGCACTAATTTTATTTTTATTGCTATACTATAGCTTGTGCTTTGTGTTTCCTTTCTGTATGCTAACGCTGAGATCACTCATCACGGCCTGTAAAATAAGACAGTGGGAATAAAAACTCCTCCACTTGCCTCCTCGCTGATCTCTCGCAGGATGGATGGCTGGAGCTCCATGTGCTTAAAGATGGTTCCCACAATGCAACACTGCTCCCCCATTTGGATTTCACACAGCTTCCTGATAGGCACACCTGCACCTACAAGGAATTTCCATGGTTTCATTCATATTTGCAGAAAAACAGTTTAAAAAATAACTAAATCTCAGTTCAAGAAAGATCATGGATCTTGTCATTCAATCTATGGCCAATCAAAATGTACTCTTCCTGTTGATCACAAAAATATGCTTTGGATAGGAAGCACGTTGTTTGATTTTCATATGCCCAGTATTACTGATACTTTCAGCACATTATACCAAAGCCCATACTATACACAGGGCAAAACAAATAGAGAACATGACAAATAGTACTGTGAAATGCAACTAAGGGCACTCTACGAGGCGAACAGCACTTTTAATCCATGGGACCAATGCACAGGACAAACTGGACAATCTTCTATATCAGAAGTGATACCTTTGATCATAAGTCACCCCCCCACCCAGCACTAAACAATTAAAGAGTGTTCTTAAAATGCCTGAAAAATGATTTGAAGGGCAAAAATCGCTCCTCAACTTTCAGGATAACCAGAACACATAAAAAAGAGTGCCCACCCCACTTCTGCTGGGCTCGCTTAACGAGGACGGGGCTCATCTGCACGAGGCGGGTGGCGTAGATGTGGGCGTACTGGCGGTTGAAGCTGCGCTCCCCCAGTTTGAAGCGCTCGGAACAGCTGACGTACGACGGGCGCACTCTTTCAAACACCGGCCCCTCGGAGGCAGGGGGGCCCAGCAGGGTTCCCTCCTTCGGGACCGTCAGATCAGAGAACATCCCTGGCGGCAGACGAGAGGGAGGAGAAACGAAAGGAGTTGAGACTTTCCTGCAAAAGAAAACAGAAATACTGCTGATGAGCCCCAGCGATTTCCTGGGTCTCACCCTGCTTTTAAACCTACCTGGACAGGCTTATCAGGAGCTCCAGACCCCAAATTTACACGATCTTCCTTAGTTTTCTAATAGGACCCAGAGGACATGGAAACCCATAAAATCATAACTTATTGAACCGTTTCCATTTTTAAAGTAGGGCGTGCACTGCAACAAGAGCTACAGTAGTTTGGGAGAAAGGATTAACAACACATAACTTTTTGATAGGATTTTAAAAACGATCTGCCTTTATTTATCGCGAAGACATCCTGTGCAGCTCTAGCAAACGAACAATTCACTGAGTTAGATGATTAATATGTGGCATGTCATCGGAAACTGGTAGGCATGTCTTTATACAGCGCAAACCAGCGTTCCAAAATCAAAATACCCAATTAGCAGTTTAAACTGTTTTATAGTTCATACTGAACAGTTTTAGCTGATTTTAAAAATATATATTTTATCTGATTACCATTGAATTTAACAACATAGTTATAAACATAGCGCCAGATAGTGTAAACAAAACCTTATGTATATTACGACTCATTTAATAACTGTATCAATAGCGAGTATATGAATATATGAACAAATACTTCACAGACGCGGCTAGAGCATAACACCAACCAACAAAATCAGATTACAAATCATGCGCCGTGACAGTTTTTAATTCTCTCCTCCAAATATTTATAAACGCCTTCCCTCTGTTGTGCTTTAATAACAACAAGCATTTATTCCCATCATTTGCTCTTACCTTTATAATTTTATTACACAGTATCTCGAAGTAGACACGGTGTTAAATGCTCCTTTTTCTTTTAATTCAATTTATCACGTCTACCGACTCAAGGGACAACATTTGCGAACTCCCGCGCCAGCAAGCTCTCGAACTATGCCCTCTCACCTTTCACCTCAATGTCACGGTAACATGCGACGCCATATTGAGAAGGTCGGCGTGTAATACAGAACTAAGGCTGTTTTTTTTATAACTGTGTGTGCACCACAATCCCGCGTTTATATTTATGTAAATAGTAGGAATGACAGATTATGTGAGAGGCTATCATAAAATGTTATTTGTAGGGACTGCTGAGCTCAAATTAGAAGTAATGAACATGGTTCAGCATTTGGGATGGTGGGCATAACTGCACTAAATTTTATTGCCTATGTACATGTATGAATTGTTATTCTTGTCGTTCTCTCTGGACGTCCACAGTACAACACACAACACAACATAATGTAGTCTGCAAAGGAACAAGTAATAGGTTTTGTTCCATGCTGAAAAGAGAAGAGAGAAAACACAACTGTTTCCCCTGTGAAGCCTTCTTCAAGTGTGAAAAAGACAGGGCAGGCAGCAATGCACATGTAAACTACTTTATATACAACTTTTTATATATCAGGGTTTCTATGTCCAATGTTTATGTGTAACTTCATGTTCCTTTTCTTCCTCCTGCAGGTACGTTCTTCTGGCCTCCGGGCTGGGGCTGGGGGGCAGCAGTGCAGACAGTCTCCTGGGGCTGCAGCTGCTCATCGACATGGTGACCGGACAGCTGGGCGACGAGGGCGAGCAGAGCGGCGCGGCCCGCATCTCCCGCGTCCTGCTCGCTGGCAACCTGCTGAGCCAGAGCACCCAGGGCAAGGACTCCATCAACAAGGCGAGAGAGGCTCCCAGCGCTGCTCTGCTAGTGCGGCGTTAGAGCACAAGAGAGTCGGGGAAGGGTTGTGCACGTGCGGCGTACAGGCCACTCACACAGGGCTCTGTTGCACTACAGTTTCACAGCTAATAAAGCTACAAAGCACAGAATGGCGCGGACACAGATCTGCCAGTGATGACATGGAGTTGAGAATCGTCAGCATGAGACAGTTGAAAAAGAAAGTGGTTGAATAAAACTTGATGTAGGTGTATGAATATTTTAAACGGTGCATGGTGTGCATCGCTTTTGCACTGTATATTTTATTTCCACCCTGCTCTTTGCAGGGATACAGTGAGTACCTTAAGCAGCCACTACCTTACCCAAGACTGATTCAGCTCTAGCTGAACCATCTTTGCTGTCTGCCCTGTCTTTCTCAGACATTAAGAAGCTTCACAGCCGAAACGTTGTGTTTTCTCTCTTCTCTTTTCAGCATGGACAAAACCTATTACTTGTTTCTTTGCAGACTAAGCATGCTGACGCAGCTACCCACCTGAAATAACGTAGACAGTACATTAAAAAACACTACAGTAGTGATAGTATGTACAGTCAATAAACAACCAGAACTACAGTGAACAAAACTACATGGAAGTCCAAGTCAAAACTGCTGAGGTATTGCACAGCTAACTGTTTATAATGCACACTGCCGTTGGGTAGAAGCTGTTCTTAAACCTAGTCGTCTGTGTTTTAATGGTGCGGTATCGCTTGCCAGTGGGTAGGGGGGAGAACAGTTTGTAGTCCTAAATTTATTACTTAATAATATTTAATTTAAAATTAAGAAGACCCCAGCAGATTTTCATTTGTTTATTCATTGGTTGATTGTGTGTTACATTAATGGTTGTCTGCGGTTCCACTGTGAGGGACTCCTGCTCCTGATGTGAAGATCTGAGGAGCACAGAAAGTGCTGACATCATCACGGCAATGTCTCACTGGGCGTGGCCTTCTCAAGACTCCTCCTTCTCGTCTCCGTGGGTGATGATGTAACAGAGGGACTTGTAGTCGATGTTGCCACTGACATCAATGGGTGCAAGGGAGAAAGCTTGCTCAACCTGGAGAGAAGTGAATGGATACTGGTTTATCCATATTTCTTCATAGATCTATTTGTCCATTATGCCATAGACAGTATAGAGAGGGTGTACAATGATAAACTGTAAGATGTTTGTTATGTCATTTCCCACTGAGGTTGAGAAAATCTTATGACACAACCCAAGACCCATTACACAAAATAATATGTTCATGAGCCATAAATGGATGGTTACTCCTATATTGTCGTATGAAGCAGAGAAATCTTGGAAGAAGATTACATAGCAGTGCAGCACTGGGAATTCATTTGTAATGACTTAAGACCATGTGGAGTGGATTTTCCTGGCTATAAAGATTTGAAACTTATTTTGTTTTATTTCGTTCCTTTTTATGAGAACTGGGACCTCATGTGTTACTCACGTGGGACCTCATGTGGTCCTCATGTGGGACTGCAGTGTTAGGGAAACCACTAATCACGGATGTAGAACTAAGAAAAATCAGTGAACACTCACTTCTTCTTCTGTGAATTTGTCGGCTTGGGTCAGCAGCAACCTTCTAAACCTGGCAGGCAGAAACAAACCAAGAAACAATGTTAAAAAAACCATCCAAGCGATGAATGAACAATACGTTTGCCCCTCTAAATGTTCTCAAACGTGGCAGCTGATTTGGAATAAAAGGGTAGAAAAGATCATTTCTGTCATGTATGATATCACGCAGAAGGTCTGTAAAATCCTACAAAAGATTTTGGACGACCATAGACGAGGTCAAAAAATATTTTATACTCCTATCAATTTTTTACTCCTAAGTTTTATTCATTTGCCAGCTCTTGAGTGTTTGGGGGAAGTTCTAGAAATGCCAATTTAAATCACAAACGTCACAGATTCCAGGTGTTGCCGTGCTTTCACCTCCATTGTTCATGGTATTAGTGCAGGTCTACATCAGCCAAGTAGGCCACAGTCTCTCTTCCAGTGCATACTCACTCATCCTTGTTTACAAAGCCTGTGGCACTGGGGTCAAAAAGCTTGAAGGCAGCAAGGATAGTGTCTTCTGGGTCAGTGCCTGTGAAAGCAGTGCAGTTGTGAGTGAATTTTGTTGTGAGAAATAACAGAAGCTTCCATTGTTGATAATCAAAGGCCAACTTACAGAGGGCTCTGGGCTTCTCAGAGTACCCATACTGGAATTTCTGAAACATTTGTGAAGGTACTGGAAATTATTTTCCTCTAGGACATTAACTTAGAATAATTAAACTTTTCTGGCTTTGCTTTGTCATTTACCAGTTACGTTCAATTATTTGCACGTTTTTCTTTGGGGTTGTCCCTTAGGAAGGAATATCTGCACCATTCCACAGATGAATAACAATAAAAAGAAATTAACAATAACAACAGTACAACAGTACTTCATCAATTTCCCTATGGGATTAATAAAGTCTTATCTATCTATCTAACTTCCATGGTGTGTTAATATTTGTCATAGCTTTACGAGGGCTGAGATTTAGGAGACCACGCTCAAATAATGAAAAGCCAACTTCAAAATAATGTTTATGTACACGCAAATCCACATTATTTATCTGTGTGATTTTAAAAGAGGAATAAAGAAATAACACAGTATACAATTTTTATTTCTTCAAGAATTACTCAGCTTTGAGTGTTAGGGATGTGACCTTTAGAGAAAATAAACAAAAGCAAAAGACCAGCTGTGGACAAAAAGAAGCTGGTGGCACCCCTCCAGCTCTTCATTAATTAAAACCTGTCAGAGCCATGTGGTTTCAATATACCAAATAGCCAGCAGTCAGAGGCACACAAGCAATAATCATGCCACCTACCATTAAGCTTCTCCCCAAAGAGAGTGAGGAAAACAGTAAAGTTGATTGGCCCTTTCCCCTCCTGTAGCATCGCCTCCAGTTCTTCATCTGACACATTCAGCTTGCCTGCAATCCCACAAGCACATGGGTTACCTTCCAGGCTGCCTTGAAAACCCAGATTATACAGGTAGCAACAATGATTCCCCAACAGACATTAGCTGAAACTAGGCATCGCCTAAAAAATCTGACACTTCACTGGTAAAAGCTGAGATAAATATTTGCAAGGTTCCTTAGAATGTTGATACACTGTGACAAAGGTAAGGAGTTAGAAGAAATCGTATTCATGCAAAAGTTCATTTCATGGGGAAATGGAATGTTGATTTCATGGAATAATAAGGGATGACAGTAACTATGCTGAAATAAAACATATAAAAGCAGTACCCAGCTGTGAGTAGGTCTCTTTTAGGTCTTCTTTTTTAATGATACCATCTCGGTCTTGATCAATACAGCTAAAGGCCTGCAGAAGAGAGAAAAATCCAGCTTATTCATAATTTGCTTAAAGGACTATGTTATACGCAGCATGCATGACAACATTCTGTGGTACTGATAGTGAGAGACAATGTGTAGTTTCTTACCATATTTGCAACCTACCGTCTAAAACATAATTAACATTTAGTAGCTGCATAAAATCTATGGATTTCAAAGATCACATAAACAGTACTTAGTTAAAAGTACCTTTTTGGGTATTTTATGTATTTCCAAGAAGAACATGCACTTATATGAATTTCTAACATGACAAAGGAACAGGTAGATTAACAGCAATATGGTAAATCTTTGTATTTTGTAACATTAATGGCAGGTTAAGGCGCAGCCATCCGACTCGCCCATCTTATTTCTAGCAAATGAGCAGTCTCCCACAGGGAGAAATAGAAACTAAAAGATACAGGGCTTCTTAGAACACGTTGTTCAACATGACAACATGAAGATGAGCATGTGATTGATATGCGGCACACTGGCGTACCTCCTTAAACTCCTGGATCTGGGACTGCTCGAACATGGAGAAGACATTGGAGGACCCGCGCTGGCTGCGTTTGGCTGCAGCTTTGCTCTTTGTTGCTGCTTTCCTGCTCGCCTGGGCCACATTTCACACACTGTTATATTTACATAGAAGTCACCTATTCTAGCTTAGCACAACCCATTTCTTACACACCTACTGTATATTATTTTCTGGGGATGTTGACAAAAGAACAACTGCAAAATGTGTACAGTAGAAGCAAACACTGGGATTCTTCAGAAAGATCTGATTGCTTTTCAGATTCAAATAAACAATTGACTCAAAGTGCTATAAAGTTGTTTGGTTGCTCGCTTGCTGGGAAACTGTTATGTCATCCCCCTTGAGTGGTTGGCGTAGTTTTATGTTTCCGAAACAAAGCTGCTTTCACACATAAAAGTCAGTAATTTTGAATAAATAACCAACGCCTGGGAAATTGCAACATCTGTTATTCCAGCACGGAATGGTTATGTACAAACAAATGCATGGAAAAACGATTTTTAAGGACGGTCCCACAACAGTTCAATTTTCTTTAAAAATCCTAATGCGCTTTCTTTTGTGTATATTACAATTCAAGCTATGTTTGCCATGAATCACTGGTCACCACTTTTATCTAGTGTAATCCTTGGTTCATCATCATCTGAATTCAATATGATGGAAAAAATCAAGACCATGATTTGAAACCTCCAGTCATCCACATTTAGGAAATTTAGAAATGTAAGAAAGCAGATTGAAGCGTCAGCACATACACGTGTACAGTATTGCATCTAGCACAGGAATTTCCATCAGTCTGATTTGAAACGACGCAGTATAACTGTGCCTAAGAGGAGTATTCCAGCCTAGCCTGATCTTTCTTTATGAGTCTCAGTCATCCGTTCTGCCTTGAAGCAAGATACAAGACAAAGCATTGAGGCTTGAAAAGGTGGCCGGTGTCATACTCACCATGTCTGCTCTGTGTGGGTATGTCAGAGGTCCCAGCCTGGCAGATCGCTGTGCTGGGTTATATGACATGCCTTATCTGCTGGCCTCCTATAATAAGAGCTGAGGGATTGCAGTTCCTTACATGGCAATGCCCAGTTCTGAGTTCCAAGTGGTACAGATAAACTCCCAATTCCTTGGATTCCTCAGCAATTGGGAAAGATAGGGAGCAAGAGAGGGACAATGCATGCCGGATAGCAGACACCTTGCTCTGATGAGCCGGAGAATGAAAGAGTGAGCTCGGCACTGGCAGCGCAGTGAAGCAAAGTAGCAGGTACACCAAAAAATAAACGTGGGCACCTCAGACTCTAGTAGACCAACATGAATCCCAGTGGAAGACATATAATTCTAGACAGGATGAACGTATGGAGCAAAATCAACTTAAGTAATCGTGTTCCTTCTTTACAGTTTAAGTTCTAGAGTACTTTAGTTTGATGCTCCTTTGGATGAAAAGGATGTTGTACTGTAGATTCCACAGAGAAGGAGCACAGGGTAGGTGCCACCATAGACAAACTCTAATACAGCTTTAAAGTAACAGATAACACACAGCAATTATATTAATGAACAATTCCTTTATGCAATTGAGGCATTATGGTTTTAATTATTGCTGATTAAATCTGACATTAATTTATGCATGAAGAAGTGCAATGAGCAATGAACCACTTCATTTATGCATGAAGTTGTTGATTTCCTCACACAACGAAATGATTTTGAGTTAGAATACACTACTTACTGTAGCTTATACTCTGCAACATTGAAGGTAAAACTGCTCATGCCAATAAAATATTCAGTTTTCTGTTGGGTAATCTTTTCAAACAGCTTTAAAAATATTTACGTACGTTACATTTAGTACATCTTTAGATTGATATTTACCTTAATTATTTGTCAATCAGATAAACATTATTTATCTAGTGTACAGTGTTATCCAATGAGCAACATTCTTTTCAATGATGGTCATTTTTAAGTATCTACTTGTTATGTGAATTTAAATATTTTAAATATTCTAAAAAATAATAATCAAATAAAAATAACATTTACTTTCTGTTGTAGTGGTACAGTATGTATACCATGATTACAGCCTCCATATGTTATCTCCATCGGCTAATGAGGCGGCACAAACTATTTCCTTAGTATCAGTGTTTGAACACTTTCTAAAGTGACACAGTTCCCCATCTTTAAACATGGATTGAAGAGCTGAGTCTGCTGGAACAGCAAGGCACTTTGCTGAAGGTACAGCATTAGGCTCCTGACCTGGGACTTGAACCCAAAACCTCCCCCTAAAGCTCTAAACCCTGCTCCACGCTGTCACTCATAATTAATTCTGTATTTACTTTGGCATTACGAATGAATTGTTTGCCAGCAGCTGAAGGTCAGAGTTTACTCTCAGAATGACTTCTGCTATGTTTGAACTAGGAAAATATTTCCAGGGACTCCTCTGATCATGGCTATTTACATCTAATACATCAAGCAGCACATATTAATAATATGGCTGGTTTCACTGTTGATTTAACAAGAGTAACAGATGACTGGTGTGTGTTCTCAACACTGGTAATGAAATTAGGTTAAGTACTGGTGTCACAGCAGTCAATAGTCAGCAAATGTCATTGGACCACACAGCTCTAATTATAATTTGAAATAGAAGACATTGATTGGACCTTTGCTGTGCAGAATTATAAGAAAGCTATGAATTTGTGATGGGTTGTCTAGGCAACTGTTTAGTGAACTATCTGTCGCAAACAGACCCAGAGGACATAATGACAGTACCAGTTCTGTAATCAAATATAAGAATTTATTGTTTGCAGTGTATTACTTTACATAGAATTGAATTCACTTAAAAGAATCACATCCAACCGATGTCTGCACACACATTTCCCTGATAAGATGCGGCTATGCACCAAGTGACTGCCTGAGTGACACACTCAAGAAAAATGTTCTGTCCTTTCTTCCCCAAGCAATGCAGTCTGGAACATTTCAAAACACATGACCAGGACCAATGCCATCGGTTAGCATGGACAGAACAAAATTGCAGTATTTCAACACGAGCAGCTAGTCACCTAGTCAAATCCTACTTTCAGATGACAGATCTCACAAATTGTTATATATAACATGTATAAAATAGATTTTGTAATTCAACAATCATCCAGGTGGGGGCTACACATTGGTGGTGGAGAAGAGTCCCTATTATCTCTAAAGCACTGTGAGTGGAGTGTCCAGAAAAGCACAGTTTAAGTGTGTATACTACAGTATAGTATAAGTGTAGGGAATTATTATTATTATTATTATTATTATTATTATTATTATTATTAATTCTTATAATCAAGAGAACATGGGATAAAATGTTTTCATTTTACAAACATAAGAAACAACACAAAATCAACCAGAACCTGTATCTATCAGCTTTTAGATTTGATTTAGTTAATACTAACAAAAAACTATTTTAGGGCTCTATTTGGCTAAACAATGCAGACTTTTTTTTGTTACTGTTTAATTTGGATGATCAGGCAATTTCATTCCTGGTGTAACACACAGATGTGTTTTCAGTTCTTGTGAAACAGATAAGATAGGTTTTTGAAGTGAACCAGAACTGGAAATTGAGATTTTAAAAAGAAATGGTGCAGTACAGAAGAATAGCAATTTAAAGCAAAGAAAGAAGCTCTATACTATATCATAAGTGTCTAGCTCAGCTTTACAGTCCCCTACACTGCACAGCCTTTAACAAACACTGCAGCAGCCACAAGTCTACTATAATATTTACAAGGATCTATTATTTTTACATGTACAAGGCACTACTTGTTTACAAATTATATGGAATTTGCCACAGATAATTTATCAGAGTTTATCCTGCAATAACCCATGAAGAGATTCGTTATATTTTCACTTTGGCATGTAAACAACACTGGGAAAACAGACAAAAACATAATCGTGGCTATTAAAAACAAAACAAAAACAAAAATGGCTATTATACCACTACAATAAATGAATTCAGCTTTTGTACAATCTGGATGCTGCCGGCAACTTTAACAGAGTGCACATCAGTGGTCTACAAGACGACTGACTGATCAATGACTTTAAAATAAATAAATAAAAAAAAATATTCCACTACTTCAGAAAACCAGGCTGGTTTTATTTTAGCCTGTGTTTTGATGAGCAAAGGCCTGCTTCTAATGGTGACACAGAGAGGTTATTGCAGGAATGACAAGAGAAGACTGCTCGTTAGTTTTTGGTATTTCATTTCTATGGCTTTTGCCAGACAAAGTATGTATGTTTTGTCTATACTTCATGATTCAGGCCATACCTTGCTTAAAGTTTGTCTTGAAGCAGGCAACAGCCGACTCTGATGTGTTAACTAGTGAAGTGTCTGGTCTGACTGCCTACCAAAGCTTTGGAAAAAGCTTTGGCCTAGAGCTACATTTGCATGTTTTTCATTGATAATAATCCCCTGTGCTGTCCTCAGTATGACCCAGGCGTCTCCTCCCCCAGACGAGTCATCCCTTCATGGCATTCTGGATGAGTGGTGCAGGAGGGGAATTATCCTGGCGGGAGACATCCCTTCTTGGCACAAGGAAGGTGATGGAGAAGTGGTCCAGTGCTTTATGGTCAAATGTTGCAGAGCAAGGTTTCCTCCTAGTGGCGGGAGGCTGCAGGACACCCTCATTGGCTCAGCATGCACGCCATCTTGCACGCCACGGCTGAAATTAGGGCCGCCCCCCTCCCGCTCCCTTCTTCGGATTGGATGAAGGTGATGTCGCAGCGAGGTGTCAATTCCCGCACCACTTTGTGGAATTTTTCTTGGAAACTGGCCAGCGAACAAAGGAAGACAATACAGACACCACTTATAGAAGGCAAAGATGTCAAATTGGAGATTCATTATTAAACCTGAACTTGTGCATGTACTAAACCTTTATTTTTATCATTCTATTTACAAGTGGAAAATGTAAGGTAAAAGCAGTGTAAGTTTGAAGACATTATTAACATACAGTATCTATAGTTCATAGGACTGTAATGCACTATGAGTTCAGCCTCCTTTGAATTACCTGCAACTGCAACATGTACAATAGGAAATAGAAAAAGGATTTGTCTCAAATTATCTTCCATCTAAGCAGTTAATTACATGCTTTGGAAATGTAGAATTTTAAACACGCCCTCCCAACTTCCTTCCAGTTCACCCTTCCCGCCACTCTGTCCTGTCCCTCTTACTCACCAGGGGTGCAGCTTGTAGACGGAGCCGTCCACCCCCACCGTGATCTTGAGCGTGTCCGCGCTGCGGCGCTCCCTCATGCGGTTGATGACCCCGGCCAGCCCCGCGCCACACATGTGGGCGGCCCGCGTGGACACGCCCTCGCAGGCCAGCCGCACGATGTCGCAGTCCAGCTCGGAGGGCAGCACGCCCAGGGTGGTCAGGATGTTGTAGATCTGCTTGCGGTCCCCAGTATCGCTGCAAGACAAGAGCCAGAGGTTGAGTAAAAAGGCCAAGGAAGGAACTCGGTGCTCCAAAGAAAGCCCCCATAACTTGTTCCACTTATCTTGCTTAGACCAAGATTTTTACCACAGTTTAATTTGTCACTCCATTGTCCATCCATCCATTTTCTAACCGCTTCTTTCAATTCAGGGTCACAGGGGAGTCCCAAGCAACGGGACATCCAGGACAGGACACCAGTCCATCACAGGACCACACGGACATAGATACTGACACACAAACACTCACAGAAGCCAGCTTTCCCCAAAGCCAATCACCCAACAAGTATGTCTTAGGACTGTGGGAGGAAACCAGAACCCTTTGTGGAAACACGGGGAGAACATACAAACTCATGCAGATAGCACCCCAGGTGCAGAAGTGAACCCAGGACCCTAGAACTGCAGAACTGCAATGCAAACCACTGTGCCACCATGCTGTTAATTGGACTCATTTTTTCACACTTTTACTCTCAGACCTTGATTCAGAGATCCCCTGAATCAGAGAGCCCTGAGGGACTTCAATCCTAGATAACAGGAATTATATTGCACACAAAGGGCATCAGACACAAAGTGAAACAGTTTCCATGCCCTTCTTTCCTCTGTGAACCCCAGCAGATGCCAGTTTGGTCTTGGACAGCGGCAGGTATCTATGATCGCTCGTACCTCTCAATCTGGGAGACGAAGCGAGTCTCGAAGCTCCCCCTAGTCTTCAGGATGTCAGAAGCTTCGCCGTTGAACAGCAGGTTCTCATTGACCAGCTTCAGCAGCACCAGCCTCACCAGCTCACCCATGTACTTCCCACTGATGATCTTCTCATAGCTGGTGTTGGGAAAAGAAGAGGACAATTGGTTTACATTAAACACTACTACTAAACACGTCCTACCTATTCCTGAACAAGCTCCATAACTGCTCCTACGTTTCCTGCTTCACAACTGCTCCTGCTTAATCCCTGGATTAAGAATACCGAGAATGAGCTGTTTCTAAATTTAAAAAGTTCAAATGAAGGGGTGGTAAATTAATTTTTTTTCCAATTAACCAGTTTGTTCCCCAATTTCCAGACCAATCCTGATCCATTCAACTGCTGTCATATCAGAGTGAGCTAAAGGTTTTTTTATAGTCAATCTGTGGCAACAAAAGAAGAGTCAAATCTTCAATAAAGCCGACCCACAGCATGTGTTTTTCCTATTTAATGTCTAAACTGAGAACCGACCAACGCTCATTGTCAGACGCGCGAGTCTGCCGCCTCAGCTGAGAGCAGTGTGGCCGCCATGAGGCGCTGAGAGTAAACAGCCATTAGCAGCGCAGGGCTAATGGAGGTCAGAGTGAGCCGGCGCCATTACATCGCATTAGCCTGTGTCCAGAGGCAAGATTGATGTGCGCTTGATGGGGCCAATTTCACTGTGCTCTGCACAAAAACAAGACATTGACAGGGAAACCACACAGAGAGGCAGGTGAGCAGCAGGTGAGTGAATGAGAGAGTAGCACACTTTCCACCTTCACATTTCAGTCACCTCGGGCACCTGACTGGATAACCTGGTTCTCCATCCTCTCTATAGTGTATCCTGAATGTACAGTACACACAACGCGTATCCAGCCACAGTTATCCTGTCTGGCTCGTTCCTGAGGTTTCCTCATTTTATTACTTTTAACTTTTTTATGGGAATGGAATTTTCAATCTCATGCATACACACATCAGGTGCAAATTAAGAAAAGCTTTTAAGAAAGAACTCTCTTTTGGTTGTATGTATTTCCAAAAACATGTGCCAGACATACAGTACTGTATGCGCCCAGCTCTCTGGATCATTGAAATCCTCTCCTATGTGTGACCTGGAGCTTGTTTTGGCGCAGAAGGACACGCCGCCCTTTATCAGGTCAGTCCTGGCACAAAGTCACGCTGTTCACTGCTTTTCTTTTTACTCAAGCATGTCCTTCATCACCTGGGGAGACTAATACTTCTCCCAGCCCCCCCTGCACATACGACTGCGCTGACCTCAGCGTGTCTCCCTGCCAAGTGCCCGGTGAGGAATCCGCAATTCGGAAGTACATTTCCTGCTGTACCCGTTCCCTAGTTGTAGAGGGATTGTGCAGCGGGAAAGGAGAGGTGTCACTCACAGCTGCTGTCCGGGGTTGAGAGAAGTCTCGTCCACCACGCGGTCGTACTCCAGCCGGAATTCCTCCAGCTCGCCTGTGTCCCCGAAGGCTCCCCATTCGGTGTTCACACACATCCGCCCCTCTTCCCCCTCCACCAGCTCCACCGTGCGCATCTCCTCCATGTAACAGGCATTGCAGCCTGTGCCTGCGAGAGGCACCCGGAGAGAGAAGAGAGTAAGAAAGGGAACATCGGTCTCCATAAACCCCTGAGACGTTTAAGCAGGAAACAATATGACATCATTAGTACCTGTCACTGTTTTTGCTTTATTAAATAAGACGTGCTTAAGAGTTTTTCACACAACAACATCCAAAAATAAGTCTTGCCCTGCTGGTATCAAAACTAAGGATAACCTTAAAGCAAGCATTATGATCCTGTTCATACAGCCTCCTCAAAAGCAGGGAATAGGAGAGTAAACAATGAGCAGAGACAGCAGAGAATTGTGGGCAACAGGCCTTAACTTCAAAGAAAACCTACTGTATGAGAAGACTAAACATTTCAAAATGTTGAGTTACAGTAGCTATTGAGTCTTAGCACCATTGGTTCAGTTTGTAGTTACGAAGCAGCTCCAGTGAAAGTTTTGAAAAAGAACAAGGAGGCAAAATGAGAGAAATGTGTTCCAAACAGGGAAAAATTTTCCTATACTTTTGAGCTGGGGTCGAGAGTCACTCTTTGGTGATGTTTTTAATTACTGAATACTACTGTACAAACAAACATGGCACTTTCTAGAAACATTGCAAACATATCATAGAAGAAATTCGAACGGGACTCAGCAGGGGCCTTCCTCTTACCCACAATCATCCCCACTTCGCAGCTGCGGTCTTCGTAGTAGCACGAGATCATGGTGGCCACTGTGTCATTCACCATGGCAACCACATCCATTTCAAAGTCCTAAGGAACACAGCGTTACAACATCATGTTACGTTTTCTAGTTGCACTAGACGTGTGCTGTGCAATTAGTGCAAGCCATGCCAGAATGATCTGGAATAAAATACACTAAATAAACATAAAACTTTAATTGCTGAGAGTTATATAAATACTTCAAGTCAGTGCCATGAAGGTTTTAGAAGAGAGGAGACATCTCTGTGCTTGATTGAAATACAGTACATACACTGCCCAGCCAAACTAAACAGGCCTAAGCCTGACCTAGCTAGGTCTCCTTTATCTTTGATTTATAAGTGTAGGTGATTGTAGTTCCCCCAGGTTTAAACCTGATATGAAATGTGCTTGTAAGGCTTATTTCTCTTCACGTATATAGAGGGAAAACAAGAAAAAGGAACAAAGACAGATAGGAGTGAGACTCACCCCTCTCCTCTTAATGGCATCACGGAGCAGGCCCACCACATTGTTGCCTTCAGCCCCTGAGGCCTTGAAGCCCTTCGTCCAGTTCAGCAGGATGCCCTGCGTTGAGTGGAAGATGAGGTGGGAGGAAACAAGAATATATCAACGACCAGCTCTTGAAACACTAGGACTGTAAAGTAGACGAGCAACCAATTGAAATATCTATCTTAACCACCAAATGTTTTTTTGTTTCCCTATTTAAGAAGTACATACAGTACGGATCTGCAAAGAAAACCCTCAGAATAAGCCCACTACGATATTAGGAAAAAAGCAAAAAGCTTTTCTTTCTAACTTAACCAATATCTTCAAGAAAATGTGACCTCATTTTTAATTGTTTTTAATTTGTTAGATATTATACATACTTCCTCATAAGGTTTGCTATTTTATCTGCGTCTGATGAAGCCCTGCTGTGTGGCAGTCAACATTAGTAGAAGGCGTTCTAAATTTAATTGGGCATGAGATAGCAGCCTGCAGTGGCTTGTGGAGATAAGTGCAAGTACAGTATGCGCCAGTGGCTTCACGTGTGAGGTGACGGCCCCCAGCCTGGCCCGGGTCTGTCTCTCACCTTGTCAATGTCCTCATGTCGCACTGGGAAGGAGAAGGTGAAACCCAGAGGGAGCTTCTTGTGTTTCATGTTGTGCTTGTCCAGGAAGTCTGAGATGCACTCGGAAATGTAGTCAAAGAGCTGGAAGACACAGTGAGAGACAGAAAGAGAAAACTCAACCAAACTGATTTACAGACCAATATGTTAATGGTATATATTTTTTCACACAAATAGTTTTTTCTATCCATGGAGAACTTAACAGAAAACAATCCTCAGGTTGCTCTTTAGTGTATTAAGACTGATGTAATCTTAAATTCAAAGCCCATTCCTTTTAAAGCTGTCATCTTATGCCCACATTGGAGTCACTGTAGTCGCTTCAGCTCACAGAAGGATACAGAGCCGGCCTCCCTTACCATCTCGGCGGTGCCTGTCATGGCGTCCTCGGGGATAGAGTACATCTGGTACTTGGTCTCCACCTTCCAGCCTCGATCGTCATCCTCTCCCACCTTCACCAGCATCACCCGGAAGTTTGTTCCCCCCAGGTCCAGGGCCAAGAAGTCCCCCACCTCTGACAGAAGCAATGGAAAGAAGACTCAGCGGCTCAGTGCAAGCAGGGCTCAGTGTGTTGAGTGAGTCACCACTCCCTCTCTGAAATCTAGACAGTGTAAAACTCCACCATGTCAGAGGATTGATCCTGAGTTCATTGCTTTCTCAGGAGAGACGCTGTGCGTGCCTCAAATCGCAGCAGGGGCAGGGAGAGCTTCATCACAAATATACTTTTTAACTTAATGAAACAGCCATTAGACCTAACAGGCCCAGAAAAGTATCTCTCGGCATCAAGATAAATTATTGGCTGCACTGCTTGCTTTCAAGAGAGCATTTGGGACCAATTTTCACATGATTAAAAAGAAGACATTAGGAATTTTTGGAAACGTTCTGAAATTAAATTGCAGGTTTGTCTTGGAATTACAATTTATGACTAAAAATCAGATCATTTTTTTCCAATATCTTCTTGCTCATTTCTGCTTGTGAGTTTCTGTTTAGTTTGCTAAGGGTCAGAGGCTTGCAAAACACAGAGGTGATCAGCAAGGGGACCCCTTGGACCTGGCTGTCCCGTACACGAACACATCTATTCATCCATCCAAATTTCTAACCTCTTCATCCAATTGAGGGTACTGGAGGAACTGGAGCCTCTTCTGACAAGCAACAGACACAAGGCAGGATCCACCCTGTACAAAATGCTAGTCCATTGTAGGGCACTTGTACAGTATAAACTTTGTGAAGGAAAACTATTGTTAATAGGATTGTCATTTTTTTATGGGGGGATGGTCTCTGAGTTTTGTAGATTTTGTGTGTAAAACATACTGAAATATCATGGCTCATACACACGATTAATACACATAATGTTTCAATGAAAATCCTCATCCACTAACAATCTCGGACACAGGCACTGTTCTCTCGCCCAGCGGGGATACCCTGGTCATTCTGCCGGTGTTTATGGCTGTGGGCGATCAACTTACCAGAGCCCTCTGGGGTGGAGCGCACGTAGGTGGGTAGCATCTTGACGCTGGCCTCGTCGTGCGTTTCCAGGTGCAGCCCCCGATCCATTTCACGCTGCATCCTCCTCATGATCTCCTTCAGCTCCTCTTTTTTCAGACGGAACTCTGAAAGGATCTGATCCACCTGAGACGAAGTTGCAGGGGTGGGGGGACGACACAATGAAAAGTCAGAATATCAATACCTTCTCTCTCCAGATCTGGTGGGGTTTCCATCAGGTTCCTAGCGCAGCATTAACAAAGCCCTGGGCGAAGGACAATCTTTAACAACGAGCATAACTCAAGTGCTTATTACTCAAGCCATGGGATTGACTTTTGCAGAAGACATTTTCCCTGTTTCCCTGTATTGGCTTTTTATTTTATTTTCTTGTGGTTGTATCTTGATCCGCAACAATAAGGGTTATCGATGTATTCACAGCCGATCTCCAAAAAAAAGGACTAATAGTTTAATTTAAAAATCATCCAGTAAGGAGAGCTATAACGATCTGAAGAAAAGCATCCTTACCCTAAGGATTTTCTCAAAAATAGAGCTGCGCCTCCGGAATTGCCTCATCTTCTCTGTCTGTCTAGAACGCATGTTCTGGTGATTTCTGGAAGACTGTCTGCAAGAGTGTGTGTGTGCGCTTGTTCAGCACGATCTGAAGAGCACTGTCTGTTTGGAAGCAGAACTGCTTTTATACCGGAGTGAGGCGGGCTGGATAGTCTGTCAGACTCAAGACCCCACATGCACACATCGATCCAAGGCCTGTAAGTCAGGGACAGTTCCTCTCTTATCTCTGAACTGTTACTAAACTTGATTGCACCCGACATGGCTGCAGGTGAAGGCCATATGTCTGTAGCTGATAATTTTAGAAATTCTTTGTTATTGCCTTTTTTTGGAAACTAAATATTTGTTTTATTAATGACAGAGCCATTGACCCAAATCACTGCAAACAGAGTGACTTAGAATCTTTGCTGGGAGAAGATAGTCTATTGCAAACAATGTGTTCAGCAATGCAGGCTTTTTCACTTTGTTTTTATTTTATACCAATGATAGCACCTTAGACAATTTTCAAACCTTAATATAGAACTAATTTTCCTGGATTAAAAAATGAGACTCTTAATAAATATAATGCTCCCATTTTGTACTGATTCATACAATTGCCTGCCTATATTCCTTTACTAATAGTCAGAATTGTTGAAAAGCACTCACTCCACAAACGCATACTGTTTACATATTAATAAATGCTGTAGAACTTCAAGCTTTTAGTAAATCAAAATTGCCTTTCTTAACCTTCTTTGGTCAACAACTTGTGCCTACAAAGAGGTCTTCAAATGTGTCTAAATGCAAAAGCAAATACAAACTTCTGTTTCACATTTTAAGTACAAACGCCACAAAAACTTCACGAAGTGCATCCAATACCAACACATTCAGACATAAACACATAGGATGCAGTACATAAATTAGAGATGATTTGTTGGTCTAGAATTATAATGAGAAAGCATCTTGTGGATTCACATTCCATACAGAGCACTGCTATTGTACCCTTGAAGAATATAATATATACATTTTGCTTCAGTAATGTTCTCAACTGTATAAATGGGTACAGATTTAATCACATTGGAACAGTGTTAGTATAATAAATTATCTTCTGATTTTCATTCTTGTATGCTTCTCATTGATGTGTTTTCTGTTACCTAACTGAATAACTCAGTGGTTTCATTATACATGCTCTTCCTAGTGTACTTGTTAGACCACTCAAATGCATTTGAAATTGATCGGCTTCATCTACTCAAAACCAAATATTTTACAATGCAAATACAGCTTTGAGCATAGTGCGTGGTTCTTTCTCAAATGTATTTACATTCAAAAGCACTTGCATCTGAACTCCACTTTATATCATGTCAGTCAACAAAACGTGTTAGATTTTGGGTACAGTAAATAAGATGTATATTTAGTTCAGGTGGGTGGCTGTCAGCGTGCGTAGGCTGCAAAGGCACAAGTTATAGGTTTATTCCATGGTGAAAAGAGAAGAAAGAAAACACAATGGAGCTCACACCCGAAGAAGGTTCCACATCCGAAACGTTGTGTTTTCTTTCTTCTCTCTTCAGCATGGAATAAAGATGTATATTTGTCTAGCAGAATTGAATTCTGAAAATATACAGTTGCCACGATTAACAGCATTGTTTTTGTTACTGGCATTTTGCACGAAGTTAAATGACAATGTAAAGTCTGTAAATAAATCAACAATAAAAAAGGTTATGAATTATGAAGCTTCTTTATATAATGCAACACCACTTAATCATTAAGCAGTCAGGAAAGTGTGTATCTTACTGTCATTTCAAAGTACAGTATGTGCAATAACAGTTGATGATAAAGTACAGTATTCACTGGTGTGATATGACACAGATTAGGGTAGTCATACAATTAAAAGACACTGGGTAAAGAACTATCACACTAGAACTTTTACTGCTCAGGCTGCTATTATAGTAATATAAAATATAAAATGCACCATCTAAACAGCCATCAACAAAATGCAGCCATTGTTAACAATATATCATCTGTTCAATGCTGTTTCTCAAAATCTATGATGCTTCAGTAGATAGCTTACTTGTATTTGAAGAAACATTTATGACTGGAAGGGACACTAAGCCAGGCACTCTAAAACTTTGTTAAAAAAGTATAATCCATTACACTATAATATATATATATATTTCTTTCACCTTTCCAGTAAATTGATTCAGTCAATTTTTAAGAACATCTGTCAATTTAAAAGTCCAAACCTAAAATATGCAGTTCACAATGAATCAAAAGTGTTAAACTTTAAACAAATAGTTCTGATAAAAAACTTGCTTGCACCAATGCAATGGCCATTTCCAATGACAGCAAAGGCTATTTGATTATTTGATTTATTTTCACGTGCAGAAAATTATTTTTCTCACGTGAAGCACTTTCAGCTGATTTCAGCTTTTCTGCATCTTATTGGTTTAAGGAGAACATATTTAAGAGTAAAATACAAAACAAGAAAAGTGCTTCATGTGTTTTTTTTATTTTCTAATTAATCTAATCAATACGAAAAGCCAATGAGCCAAGATGATGACCTTAGCAGAGGTTGGTGTTTACATCCTTTTCGGAGCCTGACTTTGGTGTAAAACAACAGGGGTTAACGTGTTAAGATGGGGGTCTTTCAGAGAGTAATACAGTAATACAGCAACACCAGCTGCCACCCCACCACACACCTGTTCTCAAACTGCCACATCAAATCCCTTGATTCCATGTGATGCAGTCGGTTTGCGCACAAACATACATGAAAACACTTCTCACCTCACTGCATGATGTGACAACGATAAGAGAAAACCTTGTTTACACTCACTGTCAGGAGAACTAGTGTGTTTATAGCCAGCCAACATATCCCCCTGCATCTCACAACTCATACCCCAAGCTCAGCTCAGCAGGTGTGAACAGCAGGTGTGAACCTTGTCAGTACCTAGATGCGGTCTGTGTGGATCCTAATGCCCCAGTATAGTGACGGGGACTCTATACTGTAAAAAAGGTGCCATCCTTCAGATGAGGTCCTGACTCTCTGTGGTCATTAAAAATCCCAGGGCATCTCTCAAAAAAAGAAGGGGTGTTGCCCTGGTGTCCTGGCCAAATTCCCCCTGGTCTTTATTAATCATAGCCTCATAATAATCCCCATCTATGAACTGGCTTCATCACTCTGGTCTCCTCCCCATGGATAGCCGATTTGTGGAGAAAGTACTGGCGCACTTTGACTGCCATTGCTTCATCTAAGTGGGAGCTACACATTGCTGGTGGTGGAGAGGAGTCCCCATTACCTGTTAAAATGCTATTTAAGCATAAGGAACTGTTAAAGTTAAAGAACTATTATTATTATTATTGCAATGAAAATTCTACCTTTCACAACCACTTGAAAGGTTGTCACAGATGCAAATGATTTACTGGCAAGTTGGGTCATCCACCAATCCATCCATCTTGCCTTAATATTTAACTTCAGTGATTGATTAACAGGCATCTTAGCTTTTTATGTATCACTAGTCTGATGTCTATTGCATAGCACATTAATGTGTGTGTGTGCTATACATTTTTGATCCATGAAAAAACACTTCAAATTTTCAAATATTTTGATAACCAAAAATGGAAATGTTTCATTGCTCTCTGCTATTACATGCAGTAACTATACTCTAACCTGAACATAATATGAAATACTAGACTCTAAAATAAAGATTTAAAATATTACGCTGTATTCAATGAGCTGCAAGACATCCTTGCTTTAAAGAACAGAAAAAGATAACAAGAAACCCAAGAGAAATAACAATAACAATCTCTGAAGATGTAGGGACATATTGTGTTGTTCATACAGTATGTGTTTGCACCTTTTTAGGGCAAAGAATGAAAATGAAGCTAAACATTAGCTAACCATTTGTGATAATAATATCTTAGCTATCTAAGTCTAACAATGTCTAATAATGTCTGGTTAATTTGGAGGAATAGTGGTTTTAATTTTCATTACATTGTGAAAAAAGGATCTATTTAATATGCAGAGTACAAATGGCACATCTGCAATGTTGACCACATTAAAAAGGATACTTTACCCTACCAGCAATGTTTGAATAGTCTAGCAAAATACATAATACCCTAAAATATGGAGTTTTCAGTTTTCCAGCTTCCAAATTAAAATCCTTTTTCAATATATCAGTATTAGTATTAGCAAAGAAGAGAAACAACTCAGCCAAATATTTCAAAAGAACAGAGAAAGTGAAAAAATAACATTTGATAGTTTTCCACTTCTTTTGTAATATTAAGGATTCATTTTAGTCACAAAGCCTACCCTTGACCTCTAATCTGTAGCTATAAACAGACTAATGTGTATGCAAGGATAAGCCATTGCCCTTCAGAAAACAGATCATCATAGGATGGTAAGAGATGAGCTGTGTCTTGCAAGCATGGTCACTGTGTTTGTTGATCTTGGCTGGGGATACATGAGCTTGGGTTTTTGCAATGTAAGGACACATTAGCACTTACTGTGCCTTTCATGTCACAATTCTGTAGCTTTAAAGTTCTGGGGAGAAAGAAACAGCAAGGCAAACAAACCTTTTCTTTAATTCACTGAGACAGTCAGATTGTAA